ACATTCTTTCTAACCTACGATATGACAGTTGATATGACATTGAAAATACTACACAGTTGCAATGACAGCATAACAATATAAAACAAAGCTTAATCACCACTTGAAGACCCAAATATATAACCATGGCAAAGAGGAAATATATGATATGAGTCTGTTAACAAGTTTGTTTCTTAAATGAAATGCTCATCCAATGAATAAATTAATCTCAAAGCATGAAGATTTTAATTGTTTGTACGAATAACACATAGTAAAAGGTGAGAGGCTATACTTTGGGCCAGCAGTCATTGTAGGACAGTTATCAGGTGTGCAGAACTCGGTAAGGGTGCCATATAGCAAATTCACCTGATTAAAGAAATCCACAGCTGAAAAGAAAAACAAAAAATATATCAACAAAGCTGCAAGTTGAGTATACACAAACGTAACCATGAGACTGCAAGTAGAGTGGTACTCACTGTTTACAGCAAGCCATTCATTTGCATCTTCTCCTGGAGGAAGTCTTACGGCTTCTCTCAAGTTCCCACTTCCTAGGGTGGCATCTATATGCTTTCGAAGCTGTGCACCCTATATTTCCGAAAGAAACAAAACGTTTAACAAGAAGAATCAAACACTATATTTCATGTCAACTTATAAACGACTGCAAAACTCGAAAGCTACAGAGTTTCAAAGACATAAACCATACAAACCTTGCTTCCAGAAGGTGCACTCTTCTTAGGACGGAAAGTCTTTTGATTTCTATTAAGAAAGCATAAAAAAGGAAGAACAAATGTTATTAAACCTGATCGGGTCAAAACGGCTATAAGTGCAACATAAGAGATTCAGTCTTTATCCATAAGTAAACCCTATGTATCCCAGAAAAACATTTTTGAGAACAATCACAGTATATATCAGGACTGAATCACATAAAACTCTTGTTTTGGGTCCTACAATCATGAGTTCTGAGGAACAAAACAAATCACCATTGAATGTGCCTCGTAAAACATGTTCCAAATCTGGTGAACATAAATACAAATCATCATAATAATCATTAACTGGCTCCAACTAAGACTCCAAACACTGAAGACACATCCACAGCTCCATATGATTTGAAATCTAATCAAGAAAACTCTAATCTGTGTTAAACCGTCCATAAAGAGCTTAAAACACTACTTGTATCATACATGACACGATCTCAAGTTCATAAGATCAGGAAACTGATCCAGATTCCCAATTTGTAAATCAGATAAAAAACTTATGTATAAAACACACACTCACATAATCAATTCACAGAAACAAATCAACCATGAAACTGAATCCAATACCACATAGAAAATTTCTGATTCAACGAACGATTAAGTAAGGTTAATACTAGAGATCATAAGTTCTGATTCGCTACAAAAAAATCCATGATCCTGGACAATTACAATGCAACGGAGATCGAAAGAAGTAAGAGATTGAATCACAGAAGAAACAAGATCACTGGTTTTATGAGATTTTCAAACAGATCTGAGATCGCAAACAATCGTCAAAATTTTCTCCAAAGGATAAACTCAAATTGAAGATAAGATTAAGCAAAGGAACGAAGAAATTCTCACCTCCCAAGCCCAAAGAGACTCATGGCGACAAAAAGCAAGCGAGAGAGAAAGAGAGAGATTCGAAAAAGCTTTTTTCCTCAGGTGGAAAAATGAGAAAAGAGAAAGACGGGGAAAAAGTGAGAGACTATTTATATGGTGAAGACGAAAGACTCGTTGATTCTCTCTCTCTCTCTTCTTATTAGCTGTCATATTTTTTAAAACCCCTCAACTTTCAGAATGTTTTAGTATTACATCCTTAATTTTCTTAAAGAATCAATTATTAGCTGGGAAAAAACCCGAAAAATATCCCGCCTATTTTTTATTTGAACGTTTAATAAACAACAAGAAAAAGTAAGATATTAAACATCCAAATAAAAAACAGATGAGATATTTTTCGGATTTTTTCTCAAAAAATGATTAGAAAATTGGAATTTGTCTTCATGGACAAGCAAATATGAAAGAAAAAAACGTTGCTTACTCATTTTATTATTTTCGGTATAGAACTTAGGGTAAATTTCAAAGTTGGCGGTTATCGAACTAGATCCACCAAACTAAGCTGACGAACAAAAACATAACTAATGTCAGAAATTAAAGGCCTGATTGGTATAAACGTAACGGGCCAGGTATGGTTATGATTACGGAAGCGGGCGGGTGCAGTTTCAAATGTAATTAAACATTTTAAGCGATTGGTTTAGCGATTAAAAATTAGTGCGTTTATATAAGTTTTATAACTTGTTAACCAGCGGATGCGACAACAGTTAAATAAAAAATGACTTAAAATAAATATAATCTATAACTATGAAAAGTATAAACCAAAAATTTATATTATTACGATAAAAGAAAAAAAATTAAAATATAATTTTCAATAAAACATCGTAAATAAAATACAACATAGTTATTGAAAGACAAATAAATTTCATAATGAAATGCTTATTACTTCAAACTACAGAAAATGTGTTTGAGTTTGTAGATCTTCCGGATTGACAATAGTATTACAATACTTATGTTCTGTTGCCTTTCTTCAGTTTGGATTGACGACATGATATTGATGGAGACAAAAAATAGGATTTTGATAATTAACATTAATATATACTAGAATTTAACCCGCGGTATACCGTGGGGCTATATTTTTTTTTTAAATGTAATGCTATTTTTTAAAAGACTAACTGAAGATATATCATATTAATTTGTATTTTTAAATGTAGATATCTATCTATCAATTTTTGAAGTATAGATACGAAAACATACATTTTTTTTAAGTTACGATGTATGGTGGATTTTAAAATTTTGAATATTTTACTCTGCAGTATACCGTGAATCGGTTTTTTTATAACTAAAAATTTTAAATGTAAGTTGGATTTGTTTTGTTAATATTGTTTATTTTGTTTTGTGTTTAAGATTGTATAATTATATTTTGATTGTTAATTTTAGGATTTCATCCGTGATATACCGTTATTTATTAATATCGACCCAAACCCGTCATCCCATATAAACCCGTCTATATTATCTCGTTAGCTAAACTATTAGTATTATAAAATCCAAGAAAATAAATTATTATTGTTATAAAATCTAATAATTTTAGGATCTCACCCGTAGTATACCGTTCTTTGAACGATTTTAAATTTATACTACTAATATATATTTTAAATTTATCATATAAAGTATATGATTTCAAGTTTTTGTGTTTTTTTTTTTTAATTTAAATAAAACAACGGCTTAAATGATGATAGATTTAGTTCTTTTTCCTGTATGTGTATTTGATTTTTTTATGTGAATATTTTGATTATTATAAATTTGTATTTTTATTGCTATGCAAAATGTTAATATAAATATTTGCTATAAATTTTTTTGAAGATATATGGAAAGATTGTGTAGAGATTTTTAGAAACAAATTAGGCAAGATATTGTTTGGTTAATATCTTTTATTTAAATTTTGTAAAAGTAATAATAAATGCCAATGGCATTCTTTGTAAATACTGCCCAACCCCAGGATTTATTTGCTAAAAGTGTTCCAAAAATGTATATATAGATATGGGGTTTGATAATTTTTTGTTTATTTGTTGTTTTTGTGGATTTTTTTTTACCATCCGCTACCGGTCGCAACCGCAAACGCTTGCGGAAATAAGCTTTTGAAATTCAGCGATTTCGGACGGTCTAGAACAGTTGAAGTGATTTCCATGATTGGTTTTAAACGGTAGGAACCACAAACGCTGGGTGGTAGCGGGAGAGCTAATCAATCCCTGAAAGTCCAAAGGGAAGTACCAACATGACAAAAACAAACCTTAAACCAAGAAGAAAACCAAGTCTGAAACTGATACAACACAGACACCCAATAAAATACGGAATCTAGCAACATCACCTCGCCAGCCGCAATAACTAAAAACACAAGACCCTTACAACGAGCCAAACCGAAGGGGACAAAAAATTCCCAACCAACGGACATCAATTCCACCTATTACGATGAATAGTTAAGACTACCTCACTCAGATGAGTTCCGAGAAATACAGACCGGAGAGATGGGATTTAGGCCAAGATATCAAAATCACGACAATTCTTCCGGATGCGATGAAATCAAAGAACACAATTTTTCAACACCATCACATTTTTATTTATGTTTTCATTTCTATCAACTTTTTTGTTTTGTTTTGTGTGGTCAACTTACCTCATTAACCAAAGAACTTGTTACAAAACTGTAGACCATTAACCAAAAAAAAAAAACTGTAGACCAAGAGATTGATTATTATATCATTTTGAGAATTACAGCTCGCTTGCTTCGTCAATCCATTTGGCATTTTCTTGTTTACTTATATGCATAAAAGTAAGTAAATGTACATGACCTTGTTGAAATCTTTACAGTATCAGCAGATATGTCACAATTAGCAAGTGTTTTCATCTTGGATTGACGTGGTGTAGAGAGTTATGTTGAGGAGTGTAATAAACCAAATTCAGATCTCCACAAAATGTTACATTCATAATAACATATATAGGAAATGAGTATGCAACTTTTTATACCTATCAACTTCTCAAGTTTTAACTTCACACAATTCACTCCGCGCTCAGAAATCACCATTCATGGCTGGTTACTTCTCAGACAACGAATCTAGAGACATCGTCACTTATCCAGAAAGCTATTAGTGTTAGAAACAGAAAACAGTGAAAGTGTAGACAATCTTCAAGTAAAAGATATTTACTTTTAACTTTAGAGAATCTTAAAAAAAAACCCTCAGTGTTCTGAGTAGCTGGGAGGTAAATCATCTATATGAACATATGTTTAATACCATGTGATAAATATACATTCGAGCTTTTTTCTTTTTTTAGTAGTTTACTTATGCTCAGAAGAAAAGAACAAAGACTATGGAATAAAGAAAAAAAAAAAAAAGCAAAAGAGATTAAGATATTATTTGATTATAAGCAAGGTATAAAGTTACTTGTAGTGTAACAGTAACACTTGATGGTCTGTGTTTCTATTTCTAGTCTCAAAACAATAGAAACAAAGAAACCCATAGACAAAAACTTCAACTTTATGTGAAAGAAACGTTCACTAACCTTTGACACTTCTGTGAACATCCACAGTTTGAAACAAAGTACAGTCTCGTGGTCTAACGAAGAAGAAGACAAGATGACTGACATGATTCCACCACATTTGAGGAAACTTTGGGACAAATGGAACATTCGTGGAGTCATAATACTCAGTCTCTTCCTCCAAACAATCCTTATTTTCTTTGCACCTAGCAGAAGACGCACCGCAAAGAAGCTCTTCCTTGTCCTCATATGGTCAGCTTATCTTCTTGCTGATTGGGCAGCTGATTACGCGGTTGGGCAAATCTCAGACAGTCAAGAAGAAGAAGCTGCATCAAACAAACAGTCCAAGAACCGTGAGCTGCTTGCTTTTTGGTCACCTTTTCTTCTCTTGCACCTTGGAGGTCCAGACACCATTACAGCACTTGCCCTGGAGGATAATGAGCTTTGGGACAGACATCTGTTTAGTCTTGTCTGTCAAGCAGTCGCCACTGTGTATGTGATCTTGTTGTCTATACCAAATAGGCTTCTGACTCCAACATTAATCATGTTTGTGGGCGGAGTGATCAAGTATGTTGAGAGAACAGCTGCATTGTTCTCAGCGAGTCTTAACAAGTTCAAAGATTCTATGCTCCACGATCCTGATCCTGGTGCTAATTACGCAAAGCTCATGAAGGAATATGAAGCTAAGAAGAAGATGAATATGCCAACTGATGTAATTGTGCTGAAGGATCCAGAGAAAGGACGGGAAGGCAATACTCCGATTAGGCCCGACAATCAATTGACCGCACTTCAAGTTATTCAGTATGCTTACAAGTACTTTAACATCTTCAAAGGTCTTATTGTTGATCTAATCTTCACCAATCAACAGCGCAATGAGAGCAGGAAATTCTTTGACAAGCTGACTGCAGAAGAAGCTTTACGTATCATCGAAGTCGAGCTTGGCCTCATCTATGATTGTCTGTTCACCAAAGCAGAGATTCTGCATAACTGGACTGGAGCTGTGTTCCGGTTTATAGCTTTGGGGTGCCTTGTTGCGTCTCTCTGCCTCTTCAAGATGAATAAGAAAGATCAATATGATGGATTCGATGTCGTCCTTACTTACGCATTGCTCATATGTGGAATAGCTCTTGATTCCATTGCTCTTCTCATGTTCTGTGTTTCTGACTGGACCATCGCTAGACTGAGGAAACTAAATGAAGACCTGGAAGAGAAAGACACCAGGACAGACAGAGTTCTCAACTGGATCCTCGATTTCAAGAAGCTGCGGTGGAAAAGGTCCAGATGTTTTCAGGATGGACATAAAGTGCTCAACAGAAACTTTATGTTTCGCAGATGGTCTGAGTATGTTCATGCTTACAACATGATTGGATTCTGCTTGGGGATACGTCCCACGAGAATCCATTATACCAAGGGTAAGATACACAGTTTCTTTCACCAGATCATTCACGTTTTGTACATAGATACTGCCATCAAAAAGGCCACCAGAGGAGCTCGCCAGTTTCATAATTTGATTGGTCGCTCTCTCAGTAATTTGTCCAAAAGAGACAATTCGGTAATCCGTACCGGTCTTAGATGGTTTCTCTTTTTTCCTCACCTCCTCGGACTTTTGATCTACAAGTTCCTAGACTTCTTCGGTATCAAAGACTTGGTTGAAGAGATAAGATTCACAGTCAGTGATCGCCTCACCAGAGAACTATGGGAGTTCATATTCACAGAGGTGCAACAAAAACACCAATTTGCTGAAGACCAAGAAAGTGCAAAGGATATATCTTCAGCTAGAGGAAACTGGACTCTACTTCAAACATCAAGCAAAAAAAGAGAAGACGGATCAGACCATGCGAAACTTCTGCAGTATGTAACAGAAAAGGATTACGATCAGAGCATTCTACTGTGGCACATCGCCACAGAACTCTTATACCAAAAGTCAATAGACCAAAAAGCGACAACAGAGAAACAAGAAAACCGTAACCGAGAGAAAGAAGAACACAGTAACCGAGAGATAGAAGAACACCGTAACCCAGAGAAAGAAGAACACACTAACCGAGAGTTCAGCAAAATCCTTTCGGACTACATGATGTACCTCCTTATAGTGCAGCCAACTCTGATGTCAGCTGTTTCCGGAATCATAAAGATACGTTTCAGAGACACATGCGAAGAGGCAAAGGACTTTTTCCGGAGGAGGCATATCGACAAATCAAGGTATGAAAAAAACAACCTTGTGAAAGAAGCCTGTCGAGCTATTCTCTCTGTCAACACAGAAATCGATCCTATGGCTGTGAAAGGAGACAGAAGCAAATCTGTGCTGTTTGATGCAAGCGTGCTTGCAAAGGAGCTAACGAATGCAGGCGGAAACATGTGGGAAGTAGTGAGCAAAGTGTGGGTTGAGTTGCTTTGCTATGCATCAATTCATTGTAACTCTCAAGAACATGCTTCTCAACTCAGCAAAGGCGGTGAACTCATCAACTTTGTTTGGCTATTAATGGCTCATTTTGGACTCGGAGATCAATTCCAAATCAACAGAGATGATGCAAGAGCCAAACTCATTGTCGCCAATTGATCACACAAACTCGGTTTCTTCATCTACTTTTTTTTTCTCCTATGTTTTAACTTTGTCCACTTCCGTGAATAATCTGCACTTGTAGTGTAGTAAACTTCTAGTCTATGCTTATGAACATGAAAATCATCTCCTTTGTTATCAATTTCATTCAAGATTTAGACTCTTACTCAGAATCACACAATTTATCAGACCCTAAAACCCAAAATCTGGATTAGATTCTTTAACACGTAAAGTACCTATCCAAATACTCATCGAAATAAAACAGGATTCACACAATTCTTCAATCAAAAAACCCTAAATCCCCAAATACAAAACCCTACTTACAATACAAAATCAGCCTCAGGGAACTAATCTTTAACTTTAGAGATTTGTTTATATAACCCCAAATACAAAACCCTACTTATTTATCTGCGGTTTTTTTTTATATATATGTCTAACTTCTAAAATTTAGTGATTTGAAATTTGTGCACACTAATTTTTTACCTTTTATCTATAAAAGTTAAAAATTATTGCTTACAAAGATGGTATAAACTCTATGTGAGATGTTGGACATAATTAAATTGATGAATTAATTGAGATTAATTTTGAACAACTTGTTTGAAAATCTTGCTCTCCACAACCACTACATAGTTTTAGCTTTTAGGTGGTTTTATTTAGTGGAGTTGAGAAAAATGAGAATTAAGATGATGATCTCATTTTTTAACTTTGAACAATATACATAATTTTTATCTTAATCTGAGTTACTTCAAATATTTATATTAGATTTATGTTGTTCATAATAATTTGTTTTACATGATGCGATGTTTAATGTTTCATATATAATGCTTCCATCACGTAATTATATATATATATATATATATATATATATATATATATTTTGTGATAATCTTTTGTTTGTTTTCAAGTGTTACAAGCTTTCGATACTTTTTTATTTTAGGAAAGTAATTATCAACAATTATAACTTTCTAAGTAAAACGTTTTTAAGGTATCGATATAAACATAGAAAGTTTAGAACAATAACCTAATAGTAATTACATAAAAAGGACAAAAATGTTATTGAAAAGTTTATTAAAGAAATGGTGAGATAGCGTGGTAGTATAAGGAGGTTGGTTCTCTTTGTGCTTGAGTTCAAACTCTTTTTAGTACGAAAGATTATTCTTCAAATCGAAGTATCTAAAATCTGATTTTAGGTACCGTAGAAGATTATAGAATGAAGATTCATAACTCTGGTTGTTTATGAAAACAAAAACAAAACAAAGATGGAGTTTTTTCTAAGTGATTTATGTGCTTTAAACATTTATTAATCTAATCAAATACATTCACGAATATTTCTTGTCTAAAAATAGTTCTTTCATTTTACAACAGCGTACGTTAAGGTGCTTTTTCCATGAAACAAAATCATGCCAAAAATAAAATAAAAAGTTCTTCCACAATTTTAACTGTTTAAGCAACTTGTGTGCAAGACTAAAGTGTGGTTTTCTTGATTTTACTATCAACAAGAAAAGAATATCTTATTCTAACAAATAAAAGCCTTTGGTTAAAGAGTACTTACCGTGGAATATAAGAATGGAATGCATAATCTGAATAACGTGGGAGTTATCTTTATTTATTAAATTCTGGTCAAATAATTTACAATTATTCTAACCACCCAGAGCCGGCCCGGAGGACAGGCCACCCAAGCGGTGGCTTGGGGCACCACAATTTTTTTTTTTTAAAGGTTTTTTTTTTTTTTTTTTTTTTTGTAAAAAAAGCCCAATTTTAGAAGAAAAAAAGAATTAAGCCCATAAAATGAAAATATTTGGTAGAAACTAAAGCCTTTTTCGAAAAAAATAAATAAAATAGGGTCCAAACAACTAAATTTGAATATAATAATATTCAAAATATCATTATTTTGTATAATTTACTAAAAATAGGTCAAAAAAAAAATTTTAGCCCTAAAACTTATAAATATATTGGGCCTCATTTTATTTTTCGTGTAGGGTCTCACAAATGCTTGGACCGGCACTGTAACCACCTATATATATTATTGATATAACCTGAGTAAGAGAGCATGAAACAGCAAATTTGATACTTAACGATCTTAGTTTTTTCAGACACATTACAAGAGTAACAACAATGCAAGTGATTCCACCAAAAATAAAAAAGATCTTAGACATATGGAACATCAGAGGACTTGTGATATTGTCTCTGTTGTTCCAAACGTCTCTTGTCTTCCTTGCACCGCTGCGGAAACGTACATCAAAGAAGTGGCTCGCTGTGTTTCTTTGGACCGCATATCTTTTAGCGGATTGGACCGCTAATTATGCGGTGTCACAGATTACTAAGAATCAAGGGAAAGAACCAGAACCTGGCGAGTTTCCAAAAAACAAGAAGGTACTTGCTATGTGGGCACCGTTCTTGTTGCTGCATCTTGGTGGGCCGGACACGATAACCGCGTTGGCTCTTGAGGATAATGCATTATGGAAACGTCATTTGTTTAGCCTCGTCTCTCAAGCGCTCGCATGTAAGTAACGGGCCGGTCGATACAATTTGAATATATGAAAAGAAAACATACACTATGGCTCCAAATGATTACGATACTGATACCTCAGTTTTGCATTACTATTTTATTTTCTAATACTATCCTATCCGTTCGCAGTAGCCATTCGAAACATATGTGCATTGCACTTTTTCACGCACAAAAAAACATATATGCATTGCATGAAGATTAAACGTTATTTTTTATTTTTTTGGAAATTTAGATTAAACGGTAGTTATTGCCAAAGGGAGAAGAGAATAAAGAGAAAAGTTGTGTTCTATTGACATTGAGAAAAGGTATATATACATCCTACACATGAAACCCTAAACATACTTAGGGAAATTAACATATTAGCCTAAGTATAATATATTTACATTATAGGTCCCTAATACTCCCCCTCAAGTTGGAGCATGAAGATTATACATGTCCAACTTGCGCCGTAAATAAGCAAATTGTTGAGAACCCAAAGCCTTAGTAAATATATCCGCTGGTTGCTCCGTAGTGGTAAGATGCGCAGTAACCAGTGAACCATCCTGAATTTCATCCCGAATGAAGTGACAATCCCTCTCAATATGCTTCGTCCGCTCATGAAAAACTGGATTGGCAGCAATATGTAAGGCTGCCTTATTATCACAAAACAAACGCATCGCCTGCGGATGAGACACTCCAAAGCATCCTAAAAGCTCACGATTCCATTTCAACTCTCGAGTAGTAAAACTCATTGCACGATATTCAGCCTCTGCAGAAGAAAATGACACCACATCTTGTTTCTTTGTCTTCCAAGCAATCGGAGAATCACCCAACATAACAATAAATCCTGTAACCGATCTCCGAGACATGGAACATGTAGAAAAATCTGAATCACAATAAGCTGTCAATTGTAAATCAGGATCAGAACTCAACACAATACCTTGACCCGAACAGCCTTTAAGATATCTGACAACCCGTATAACTGCAGCCCAATGCTTGGCACGTGGTTGTTGCATAAATTGAGCTAACATATGCACAACATAGGACAAATCTGGTCGGGTAAAAGTAAGATATACCAAACGCCCAACAAGCCTCCTATACCTCTCGACATCCTCATAGAACTCTCCTTCATCATCCGGCAACTTATGGTTTTGCTCAAGCGGAGTAGACACTGGTTGACATCCCAACAACCCACATTCACTTACAATATCCAAAGCATACTTCCTTTGCGACAAGTAAAAACCATCATGAGACCGAGATACTTCAATGCCCAAAAAATATTTCATAGCCCCCAAGTCCTTCATATGAAAACATTCACTAAGGTATCCCTTAAACTCCTGAACACCATTAAGATCATTTCCCCCAATCAACAAATCATCAACATAGACCAACACAAAGAGTTGCATAGATCCACGCTCCAAGGTAAAAAAGGAGTAATCGGCTACCTGCTGAGCAAACCCATACCCTTTTAGTGCTGCTGCAAGCTTAGCAAACCAACAACGTGGTGCTTGACGTAGACCATATAAAGATTTCTTAAGGCGACAAACTTTTGATTTATCTTGAGAAACAAAGCCAGGAGGTAATCTCATATAAACTTCTTCCTCAAGATCCCCATGTAGAAACGCATTATGAACATCCATCTGATGTACTTCCCATCCTTTGACAGCCGCAATCTTAAGAAACTCGCGAATAGTTGTCATTTTCACAACAGGAGCAAATGTCTCATCAAAATCTAACCCTTCGACCTGTCGATTTCCCATGGCCACCAAACGAGCCTTGTAACGCTCAATTTCCCCATTCGACTTATACTTGATAGTAAAGATCCAATGACTGCCAATAGCTTTCTTTCCTGGCGGAAGATCGGTAATATCCCAAGTGTCATTTGCATCCAAAGCATTCACCTCTCCAGACATCGCATTGCACCATTTCTCATCCTTAACGGCTTCCGAGTATGACTTAGGAACCGAGACAGCAGTAATGGCCGCAAGAAAAGCTCTCTGTGAATCAGAAAATCGGTCACAACTCACATAATTAGCAATGGGATAGAGAACCGTACCTGGAGCAGAGGACGCTGATTGAGTGGGTGCCGGTGTGAGTGTGGGATGTTCAACTGAGCAACGTGTAGTATGTAGTACATAATCACTTAGATGAGCCGGAGGTTTTCTTTCCCGTTCGCTTTGTCTAACTTTAATCCCTTCACTAGTCAGATTATCATTTCCTAATTGACTCCCCCTTTCCTCCAAAGCAGTATCTGAAGTCTTTTTATTATCTTTGGACCCCGTAATATGAACACCGGACGAGCTGAATGCTGGATCGATCGATCCTGGTGCCGGATCGATCGATCCATTAGTGGCTGATGTCTCAGTAATATTCTCTGGATCGATCGATCTAGGCGTGGGATCGATCGATCGCTCCGCCTCGGGTCCAAGCTCGTCACATGTCAGTAGCTTGGGATCGATCGATCTACGTGCCAGATCGATCGATCCCGTTTGGTCCGTCAACTCATCAAACGTCAGTAACTCGGGATCGATCGATCCACGTGCCGGATCGATCGATCTAGTCGTCTCTGGTCGAAACTGATCATCTTCAAACTGTGCGGGATCGATCGATCCCGGCTGTGGATCGATCGATCGCTGTTCCGACAACTGATATGGGAATTCATCTTCTTGAAACACCACATCCCGAGAAACAAAGAATTCCAACTTCTCCAAATCATACACACGCCATCCCTTCTGACCAAATGGATACCCCATAAAAACACACCGTCTACTTCGTTCCCCAAACTTATCTTTATCCCGCAAAACATTACGAGCAAAGCATAAGCTACCAAAGACTCGTAAGTGAGTGATATTAGGTACTTCCCCAAACAACAGCTGATAGGGTGTCTTTCCTTGCAAAACAGTGGATGGAGTTCGATTAATCAAATGACATGCAGTCATAACACACTCACCCCAAAACTGACGTGGTAAGGTAGCTTGAAACATCAACGATCTAGCAACATTCAATATATGTCTATGCTTTCTCTCCACTCTACCATTTTGTTGAGGAGTATAGACACACGACGTTTGATGCATGATTCCCTCTTCCAGGAAGTACGATCGCAAACCCATAAATTCCCTGCCATTATCACTACGTATTACTTTCACCTTCTTCTCAAACTGTCGTTCAACCATTTTGAAAAAATTCTTAAGAGTTACACCGACTTCACTCTTTTCCCGTAACAGGTGCACCCAAACCGCTCTCGAATAATCATCTACTATTGTCAGAAAATACGCAGCACCCGAAGTAGATACTATTCGATACGGACCCCAGAGATCACAATGAATCAAATCAAAAATTCCAGCAGCTTTATTAGAACTTTCATGAAAACAATCCCGGGTTTGTTTAGCCCGTAAACAAATATCACAAACTGTTGTAGAACTAACTTGCTTTCCAATATCTAAATAACTCGATAAATAGGGAACAACATGACTAGACGGATGACCAAGACGACGATGCCATAAATCCCATGATCCTGAACTGCTCACAGTCTTGCGTATCTTCGCACCAATCACCCCTCGAAGCACGTACACGTCCCCACACTCTTCACCAACCCCAATCAGCGTCTTCATAGCCCGGTCCTGTATAACACACAACTTATCAGTGAATGTAATAGAACCCTTAACCACTTTCAACAACTTTGCAACCGAAATTAAGGAGCATGTTAAATCCTTAGAGTACAAAACTCCTTGTAGCCACAAATCACCCCCGAGACATATATCACCATGTTGGGTGGACACCACATGATCACCATCCGGTAGACCGATCATACATGGATTGGTATTCATCACATTAGACAAATAGTCTAAATTACCAGTCATGTGGTGTGATGCTCCTGTATCAATAATAAAATCAACACATTCTTTCTTACCATTCAGCTTCTCATTAGGATTTGACTTTTGAGAAGCAAAGAGACCCTTGAGAGCATTCCATTGATCATCACTCATTTGTGGTAGAGATTGACGATCCAAATCAGCCGGTGTTCTTGTTGAATTAGCTTGTATTCCCCCAAGAATATTTGCCTGAACACCCGTGACCGCATTAGCCCTACCACCGGACCCGCGACCACGTCCAAACCGGCCACCACGTCCTCCACGTCCACGTCCACCTCTACCGCGATCATTGTAGTCACGACCTCGTTCTCCCCACCATTCAGGAAGGCCAATTATCTGAAAGCAATCAGCCTTTGCATGCCCATACTTACCACAATTAGTACATGTCACGTCCTTCTCGCGATAAAAATTGGAAGTTTGACCCCGTTGTGCAGCCTGGACCGCAAACCCCACAGCCTCCGGAGTGGCATCACGATTCCTAGTAATCGTGAGTTGTCTCTCTTCTCGAATGATCCTTTGATAGACTTGTGAGAGCTTGGGTAGTGGTTCCATACTTGTGATAGTAGAACGCACCGTACCAAACTTTGCAGAATCTAAACCATTCAAGAAGGTATTGGTTCTCTCTTCATTACGGTCTTCTTCCAACTGAGCAGCCAGTTCTCCACAACTACATGATCGAATAGGCTTGTAAATTGCCAATTCATCCCACATCTTCTTAAGTCTCCCATAGTACACCATTACCGTATCTCCGTTTTGCCTATAGTTTGCTATATCAGCCCGAAGCTCACTGATTCTTGGCCCGTTTCCCGCAGAAAATTGAAGCTTCAAATCTTCCCACAACGCTTGAGCTTCATCCACCATAGAAATCGATGTCTTGAGAGTCGGCTCAATCGTGTTCGTAATCCAAGCAATTAACATAGAATTAACCACTTCCCACTGTTCAATCTCATCATCCTTGGTAGGTTTCTCCAAGGTCCCATCAATAAACCCTAATTTTCGTTTCGTTCGCAAGGCGTTCCGCACATGCTTAGCCCAATCTTCATAGTTTTCTCCCTTTAATTGAACAGTAGTAATCACATTACCCGGTCCATCAGAAGGATGGAGATAAAGTGGAGAGGCCCTAGCCTTCTCCGCCACCGTGAGTCCACTCCCGCCGCCGCCTTCCGCAGTCTTCACCGGAGCAACCTCTTTCCCGTCAACGTCAGCCATCTTCTCTTCTTTTCCCTTTGTTTGATTTTCTTCTTAAAACCCTTGCTCTGATACCATGCCAAAGGGAGAAGAGAATAAAGAGAAAAGTTGTGTTCTATTGACATTGAGAAAAGGTATATATACATCCTACACATGAAACCCTAAACATACTTAGGGAAATTAACATATTAGCCTAAGTATAATATATTTACATTATAGGTCCCTAATAGTTATCAAGTAATAAATATTGTATTTGGATTTCCACATACCAATCATATAATGATATAAGTATGCATATCTCATGATTTACCGTTACGTGATCATTTTAATGATTAAAAAGTACTTCTTAATTTATTGTTTGGTTGACAAAAAAAAAAAAAAAAAAACTTTATGAGAACTCATATTGTAATTTCCCGGTAATTGTTTTAACTTCTTTAATAATGTCATTATAAATTGATCAGTAGCTTGATTGATTATATATGTTTCTTCTTATAATATATATGTTTTCAGGTGTTTATGCGGTGGTGCAATCGATGGAAAACGTATTATGGCCACCAATCACACTGTTATTCATCACCGGAACGATTAAATACGTGGAGAGGTCACTCGCATTGTACTCAGCGAGCTTAGAGAAACTCAAAAACAACATGCTTCCACCACCAGACTCTAAGCTTATGGAAGAATACTCTTCGAGAAAAGATTCAAATCTCCCAACTAAAATCATCTTAATCGAGAAGCAAAAGGGACCCCGGAAACTCTTTAGACCGGACCGAGATTTAACCGATCTCGAAATCGTTCAATACGGCTACAAATTCTTCAACACTTTCAAAGGTCTTGTTGTTGATCTAGTTTTCAGTTCTAGTGAGCGAGACGAAAGCAGAGATTTCTTCAATGAGTTGAAACCGGGAGCTGCACTAAGGATTATTGAATCCGAGCTTGATTTTCTATACGAATTGATGTTTACCAAATCTGCGATTCTTCATACGATAACCGGTACTCTGTTTCGGTTAATTGCGTTTGGATCACTTATTTCTTCCTTCTTTGTCTTCCATCGTAGGCCGCTTAAGTCTGAGGAATTTCATGGAGCAGACATTGTGATTACTTACACATTGTTCATCGTTGGTATCGCGCTTGATCTCCTGTCAATAGTCATGTTCTTGTTCTCGGATTGGACATATGCGGTATTGAGTAAGCTTAAGGATGATCCCGGTGAAAAGAATAGTTTTATCGACTCTTTACTCAATTGGTTTCTCGCGGTTAGGAAACTGCGTTGGAAGAAGCATACATGCAATGGAAACCAGACCCCCGAGGTGCTCTCGACAGGGTTTTTGTCACGGAGATGGTCAGGCACGATCTACGGATTCAATTTCATCGGATTTTGTTTGAAAGCCAAAGTTTCAAGAATCCATAAGAAGAGAAACTGCAATGTTTTAGTGTGGGAGTCTGTGGGTTCGATGTTCGATTGGATAATAAGAAGAATCCAAATGATGTTTAGATGGATCAAGAATGTTAATAGATCACTCAGAAGCGTGATGAGGCAATGGTCTAAGAAGAATCCGATGTTTTGTTATACGGTTTACCCGTTATACCTCGTGTTCTTTGCAGGTATTCCTCAAGTTTTCGCAGTCTTTTGGGGTCATATTGATCGAATCTTCAGTGTTAAATCTTATCTAGACGAGATTAGGTTCATTTCGAGAGAGCCTTTGACGAAGAATCAATGGGAATTTATATTCAATGAGATAAAGAATAAGTCCTACTTTGCGGAAACACCCGACCTTACAAAGAAATTGTCTTCGGCGAGAGGAGAGTGGGTTTTACGAGATATGATTCTGGCAGAAAGTGAGAGATTGATAGGTTACGTAGAGAATGTTTCTTATGATCAAAGTCTTTGAAGTAACTATGTGTGTACTAGATCTATGCGTTTGTACGATGTGAGAGTGTAACGAGTGCAAAGAGCATAAAGTAAAGAGACGCAGAGATTTGTTAACGGGGTTCGGTTAACAACCTACATCCCCGGGACCTAGTCCAGAAATCAATCCACTAGAACAAGATTGCAAATACAATTGCATATGATATTACAGCATAACTATGCCTACCATTCTTTTCTAGATGGACTTTGGAAACAGTATCAAGCCACGCATGTCTTGACTACCACCCGGCAGCACCGGTGCATCACCGTCTTCTCTAACGGCTGCAGATTCCAAAGGAATACCACCAACAGATCTTCATCTGACTTGGTGGGGCGACGTCACACACACGCATGTGTGCCTCTTTCTCAAATACACCATAGACGCGCCACCTTTCTTTGTCACGGCAGCCATCTATATATACTCAAGACAAAACCCTAAGCTCCAAATATTCTCGCAATCTTTTTTCCTTGATTCGAAAGTATCTGAGCCACCACTAAAGGAAACATCACGTCTCCAATAGAATCACGCCACGTCATCTTAATTCCAAACTTGATTCTTTCTGCGTTCAGTTCTCCTGTTGTGTTACACAGCTGCTGCCTGTGGAACACAACTCTGATACTTTCTGTTGATACTCTTGCGTCACACAGATGTTCCAATACCTCTGTTGTTGTCTGCATAAACTCTTGTGTCACTGCTGCCTGTGGAACACAACTCTGATACTTTCTGTTGATACTCTTGCGTCACACAGATGTTCCAATACCTCTGTTGTTGTCTGCATAAACTCTTGTGTCACACACACGTCCTGTTATCATATCACCTCTTGAGCTGTGCCATCATCTTGAGTCTAACAACCAGTTACAAACATACCTTCAATCTCCCCCTTTGTTACTGCGTTTTAGAACTCAGCCTCACCTTGTACCTTGTAGTTTGATGATCTTCAAGCTTCATTACTATCTCAGAATCTCCCTCTAAACTGTCACTGCATCTGTTGTGATTCTGACTGAGTGTCCATGTTCCAACTGTCACAGCTACACAACTCAACAACAGCACATCTACAGAACTGAGCAACATCACATATATACTAACATTCTCCCCCTTGATGGCTGAGTTGTAGCTCACATGATCTAGCATAGCACATCTACACAACTGAGCAACATCACATATATACTAACATTCTCCCCCTTGATGGCTGAGTTGTAGCTCACATGATCTAGCATCTTCATTCTCCCCCTTTTTAGCTTAGTTTGAAACTCAAGCAATTAACCATACAGGAAATACCAAGAAAAAAACTCGATGCTCCCCTTGTGACCAAGCTACTAGCTTCAATCTCATAAATGCAAAATATCGCCCAGACTTCATCTCCCCCTGCTTGAGTGCACAACTAAGATAAAACTTCACATTAAATGGGCATTTTCCTTTTGCCTGAATGTTAGAGCATGTTTAAACATCTGCTGAACCCTGTAGACACTCAAAATTGCCTTCGACTTCTCTGAAATTATGCAAAACACATTCTCAGGATCCACTAGCAATCACTACACCAAAATCCTAACAGAGGGCTTGATGCATCACTTGTGTAAACAAGAACATTTAAAAGCACTTTCAACAACTAGGTACAACAGCGCCACCTGTGAAACATATAATATCCCAAATGACACAGGTTCCATCTTTGCAGCTGCACGGTAAAACAGAATTTCCACACAAATAAAAACAGCTTGTGACTGCAACATAAAACAGATGAACTGACTTTAGAAGAATCTGCTTCACCATCAACAAGAAACCGCTGTCGCCAATAGGAACAGGATCTAAGCCTGCCGTACGCACAGAACAGTCACTTCTGATGTGGTAGCAGTTCTAAGAACAATTTGCAGAAACAACTTCCAACAGCTCCAGCCCGTCTTATGACCCAGCTTGTAGAAAAACCATCAACATCAGCTCTTCTATTAAACCGCTCTCACCAGTAACCAAAACAACATCAAGCGTATGGAAATATCTTCGATCTCTTCTTTCTAGCTCGGTTTAATACTCCAATCACCCAATGAAACCAACACAAAAACCACCAGAAAACCATACTTCTGCTTGAAAGCAGCGTTGAAGTAAAATCCAGATTAATCTACCTTGAGACAACCAAAACACAACATCTTATGTGCCCAACAGTGTACCAGTGTGGACAAAGCAGGCGATTGCAACTTCTGTAATAGATGTTGTTTTAGTATGTGATACGTCCGAGTTCAACAAACACAAGAACCTCATATAAAATCCTTTAATTTTAAGCACTAGAGCAACACGACTTCTTGAATTTCAATAGCGATGTCCCAACTTTCACCTACAAGACACTTCAGCTTCCTGGGCTAAAACTTAACCGGAGTTACTCAACTCTGAGTATTCTACCTCAGATTGATCCCGACCAACATCTCCTTGCAGATATCACTTAAGCTAACCTTGCAGAACTGAACCGGAGTTACACAACTCTGGTATGTTACCTCAGATTGATCCCGACCATCTTATAATATTAGTGAAAGTGAATCCTTCTCTTGAACTTCAACAAATGAGTGCTCTTACTCTTCTTTTTTTCTTTTAACGAACATATGTATTCTTGTTTAAGTGTAGTTATTTTCATCCATTAATGCTCCTGGTTTTCTAAAAAACATCCTTTCGCCAAGGAGTTCCATAACAAGGCTTGATCACAACCCACTAAGCTTCTTAGATCAACAAATATCTCAGCCCAATCCACAAAGACTGAATCAACAAGTAACCTTCACATGGTATCTGAACAGTAGCCCTTATGCTCATAGAGCCAATTCCTTAAAAACATCATGCATGAGTATCACAAGTACCTTGTAATTTGCAGCGGAAAACCAGACTTCAAAACTCCCAATTTTGAATCTTCAACATGCCTTGATTTTGACATTCATAATCATGACTTAATGATCTTAACTCATGCCTTCAATGAGATCTCGTAATCCTTCCAAATTATGATATGAACATTTTCACCTGAGACAGGAACTGCTTGTTTCTTCGTACTTCATGTAAACATATTCTCACAGTTTTTTTTTTTTTTTTTTTTTTTTCTTGCAAATAACCAGCCACTAAAACCATGACCATGCCCAAGAGATCAGAGAATTCTTCTGTTTACATGCCTGTTGAGATCACTTCTTCTATGCACTTTTGATCTCTTAGCTAGCTTCCAAGACACTCAAATCCATGCTCTTTCAAGATACGAATGCAGAACAAAAGCTTACAAAATCCACACACACTGCACAATCACACCCATTAATTTACTTCTTGGATGCACTAAGCTGAAACAACCTTTATTTTAATCATTTGCAAGTCACCATTACAAACCACAGCCTCGGAAGTCTTTGAATTAACTGCTTTGAAACGCCATCACTCAACTATGTTTCTGGTCACCGAAACCAATGCCCTTTGACCAGAATCTAGCTCCATACGTCTAAAATGTCTCGTTGAAACTCAAAATAGTAATCGCAGGAAACTCACCAGAAAGTTGCAGCTCAATCAGATAACTTTTGGATCATCAACGTTTGCCTTGAAGAAGCCATTTCAGAACTTATTTCTGCATTTTTCCCAAATCTGAAAATTACTGTTCCCTCCTTCGATGTTGAATTTAGATCTCCTTTGTCTTCACTATAGCCTGAACAATAATCTTTATGTTCATTGATTCCATTTGTCATCACGAACTTGAAACAAAAAGCAACACACGTTGTTTCCTTTTTAAAAATCACAGAACTCTTGTAGAGAAGGTTCTTCATCAGTCTTGATGCAGAGCATAAACGGAGCAGCAAAACAGCCCAGAAAATTATGAAATTTGGTAGAAAAATCAACACCATTCATACGAAGCCACAGGAGAAAACGAATCACGATTTGGGTTTACGGCTTGAAAGTTATGGTGAAAACACCAACACAGATGCAGAAAGAGACGACCTACGAGCAGCCAACTTAGAGAGCAAATTCCCATCACACCACAATGAACCAGACAACGATCTTTATATCCTTGAAAAGATCTCACTTTCAAGTTTCCAGAACATCTTTCAGAAGCAAAATCCGAGGTCGGTAGCCAAGGAAACGAAGGGGACAAAGTCAGACAAAAACCACTTCATTAAACAACAGCTTTAACAAATCTGTTGTACTGCAGAACACAAATGAAGCAACAAACCAACCCAGAAAATTCTGAAAATTGGTTGCAGGACCAACATCAGACATACGAAGCCACAGGAGAAGACGGATCAGGCTTTTAGTTTATGGTTTGAAAGTTATTGCTAATTTCCCATGATAGATCCGGAATGACATAATCTGCGAGCTGCCAACTTTGAGGACGAATTCCCATCAAACCACAAGGAACCAGAAGATGATATTTATGTCTTTGGAAAGATCTCGCTCTCAAGGTTCCAGAACATATTTCAGAGGCAAAATCCGAGATCTGTAGCCAAACAAAATGAAGAAGAAAGAATCAACGATGAGACATAAAACTGTTTTTGGAACCTGAAATTATCTTCCCCTGAGCTACTTTCTTAGATTCAGAGTTGCATCAAAATTCTTCTTCATCATTCTTTGATTCTTCACAAATACTAGCGACATCATTAAGAATTATACTCCATAGGCTCCATCTTTGATTCAACTTTCTTTCTCATGACAAAAATCATTGTTAGCCGCATGATCAATGACAAAAATTCCCTTTCTCAAAGATGAACCTCTTTGCTCTTGGTTTCAACAGTCTTCTCCCCCTTGTTGATTGTGTGTCTCAATAAAACCCATGACACATACATCAACACACATCCATTAAAACCCAATGCTTCTATAAAAGCAACACCAAAAGAACGTAGCTTCAGAAACAAATAATATGGCCAATCAATTAGTTATCTCCTGTACCACTTTCAGTGAGCTGACTTCCAACCACAATAACCCTCGTAGAGTCATGAAACATGTTTCTGAATTTCTTGACCAAATCATAATCTCTTTGTCAAAATTAAGCAAACCAGTCTTCAATTCAAAGAACAAAAGAAACCAATGATTCTTCTAAACTCTGGAACCTCAACAATTCTAAAGCAGCCCAAACCATCAAGAAGGCTCAAAATTCAGAAACGTCACCAACAAACTCCAAACCTGACATCAGTCCTCAAATCACAGCATCAAACCAAGCAAGAGAAATATCAAGCTGAGAATCTCAAGTATAGATTTTCATCCTTTTCATCCCTCTCTGAAACACACTTCACTGGCGACCAACGAAGCTCACGAAAACTCTGTTAACCCTTTGCCTTGTCTCTTCTAGGCAGATAAGATCGATGTTGATCTTAGAAAAAAATCTTTTCCTAAACTCAAATCAGACATCTCCGGCAAGATTGATTTCACTTTTCGCCATGATTTCCGTCGAGATTCCTCTATGGTGGTCACTGGATATCGCACCAAGCACGTCACAAACCCTGAAGTCTTCTCAATTTCAAAACAACCAAACCATACTCGCTTTTACGGCCATTTTTCTCAACTGTGAATGTTTCTTCCATCAATTGATAATATCAACGGTGCTCACTAACAGCCACTTAATCTCCTTCACCAACATCTACAACCAATTAAAGCGATTTTGCCGAAATCCTCCACAATTTTGTCAGAATCAACACCGACTGCTTCTTAGGCACACAAAATCGAGAAACTATAACCATGAGCTCTCTTCTTTTCAGACCGAAGATGAACAAGTAATAGCAGAAGACTCGCACACAAGCCTGCATCTTCCGACACGCTTCCTTCCAATTAAAACACTTCTTAGCACAGTGGGCTTAGTCTGGGCCTCATTTTATTAAAACAGAAATTGGCCCAAATATCTAAAACCCAAACCTAAGGCGCAAATTGTCTTTCAGACTAGATGATCTTTTACTGACGGCAAGAGAAACACGACGTTTCATGTTGACGGACCTGCAGTTTCCGGCGACCTCGACACTATTCTGCCTCCATCATCTACTGAGATAATCTTCAGACCTTAACCTCTCTAATTCACTTTGCTTCTTCAAATCCAAAAGCAATTTAAGAGAATTTCAATCGTACTTACAACAAAGATATCTTCTTCTTACCCATCTAGCCACACAACCAAGATCTAACCTGTTAGAGATAGTCATCTCAGATCGGTTTCCCGCTCTGATACCAAATGAAGTTACTGTGTGTGTTAGCTAGATCTATGCGTTTGTACGATGGGAGAGTGTAACGAGTGCAAAGAGCATAAAGTAAAGAGACGCAGAGATTTGTTAACGGGGTTCGGTTAACAACCTACATCCCCGGGACCTAGTCCAGAAATCAATCCACTAGAACAAGATTGCAAATACAATTGCATATGATATTACAGCATAACTATGCCTACCATTCTTTTCTAGATGGACTTTGGAAACAGTATCAAGCCACGCATGTCTTGACTACCACCCGGCAGCACCGGTGCATCACCGTCTTCTCTAACGGCTGCAGATTCCAAAGGAATACCACCAACAGATCTTCATCTGACTTGGTGGGGCGACGTCACACACACGCATGTGTGCCTCTTTCTCAAATACACCATAGACGCGCCACCTTTCTTTGTCACGGCAGCCATCTATATATACTCAAGACAAAACCCTAAGCTCCAAATATTCTCGCAATCTTTTTTCCTTGATTCGAAAGTATCTGAGCCACCACTAAAGGAAACATCACGTCTCCAATAGAATCACGCCACGTCATCTTAATTCCAAACTTGATTCTTTCTGCGTTCAGTTCTCCTGTTGTGTTACACAGCTGCTGCCTGTGGAACACAACTCTGATACTTTCTGTTGATACTCTTGCGTCACACAGATGTTCCAATACCTCTGTTGTTGTCTGCATAAACTCTTGTGTCACTGCTGCCTGTGGAACACAACTCTGATACTTTCTGTTGATACTCTTGCGTCACACAGATGTTCCAATACCTCTGTTGTTGTCTGCATAAACTCTTGTGTCACACACACGTCCTGTTATCATATCACCTCTTGAGCTGTGCCATCATCTTGAGTCTAACAACCAGTTACAAACATACCTTCAATCTCCCCCTTTGTTACTGCGTTTTAGAACTCAGCCTCACCTTGTACCTTGTAGTTTGATGATCTTCAAGCTTCATTACTATCTCAGAATCTCCCTCTAAACTGTCACTGCATCTGTTGTGATTCTGACTGAGTGTCCATGTTCCAACTGTCACAGCTACATAACTCAACAACAGCACATCTACAGAACTGAGCAACATCACATATATACTAACAGTCTTCTCCTTTGGCATATTGCTACTGAGCTCTGTTTTCAACAAGAAGAAAATGAGGAGATGGAGAATCTAAGCGGAAATAGTTACGATGACCGTGAATTTAGCAAGATTACATCGGATTACATGATGTATTTGTTGATAATGCGACCAAAATTGATGTCGCAAGTGGCAGGAATCGGAACTATACGATTCAGAGACACTTTAGCTGAAGCTGAGAGGTTTTTCAAAGGAAAGCATATCAAGAACCTGAGAGATATGAAACGAGCGAGTAAGACGATTTTATCGGTTAGTAACGATTATGAGCCAATGTATGTGAAGGGAAATCGAAGCAAGTCAGTGCTTTTTGATGCGAGTATGTTGGCAAAAGAGCTTCAGAGATTGGAAGATAATAATAGTAGAAACGGACATGGGAAATGGAGAGTGTTAAGTAAAGTGTGGGTTGAGTTGCTATGTTACGCAGCAAGTCAGTGTAAAGCTATGGAGCATGTGGCGCAACTTAGCAGAGGTGGGGAGCTTCTTAGCTTTGTTTGGTTGTTGATGGCTCACTTTGGTTTATCAGATCAGTTTGAGATCGATAAAGGAGAACCTAGAGCTATACTCGTTGCAGGAGAGTGATAGTTATTACTCGTTGAGATCGTTCAATGTGGGATATTGTTATCCGTAATTGTTATAACAAAAAATACAATATAAATCTATCTGTTGTACGAGAAAAATTCTTAAAAAATTGTCAACCTTTTTTAGAAGAAAAATACATGAGTTTTTATAGTTTTTCCGATAAAACCTTGTTTTACAATTTAAAGTGTTAGTCATTAATACATCCTTCTGAAAACTTTACCGGATTCAAATTTGTGACTTTATTGTATAATTTCAAGCAATGTACATACATAATTTCAAGCAATGTACATTATCGATCCATCCACGAAACCAAGCATAATTTGCATGGATTTGTTAAAAAACAAAAAGTTTAAAAATTCTTCACTAATATATATATATATATATATATATATATACTAGATATGGATCCGTGCGTTGCACGGGTTACTTGTCAAAATTATCATTCTTAATTTTTTTTTTATTTTTGCAAGTTTTATTAAAATTATATAAAATATATGTTTAAATTTTAGAAAATGCAGCATTTTAGTTGATTTTTAATTAAATTTATTATGCATAATACACAATATAAAACACCATTTGTAGTTATGTTATACTAAATATTAAATCATCTAATATAAATGTTAATATATTTATAAAATTATATAATATTTTGGTTATTATAAGTTATGATATTCATAAATGTTCATATGTTGTATTATTAAATTTTAATAAATTATTTACATCTATCGGAAGAGTGTGTTACACCTTATAAGTTCAATGTGGGAAGATAGAAAAAAAATTGTGACAATAAGAAAAGATAAAATTATATAGTTACGTAAACAAATGAATGATATATGCATAATATGTAAACATATTGTATGAGTTACGTAAACATATGATCTTTTTAGAAAATCTTGACGTCATAATAAAAAGTCTCAAATCTGTCTCTTTCTCTCATTAGATTTCTCTTACTTTTGGTTGATGTCTTCTTTCTTTCTCCTTCTCTCTCTCGTCGGATTTCTTTCCCATCATACCTTTTTTTTTTTTTTTCCATATCTCCATTTCTCTCTTTTCGTCGGACATCACCACCGAGTCTCACTACTCCCACCCTCCACCACAACTGAATATCACTACTATCACAATCACCACCACCATCAATACCAAATCTCGCTAGTTCCGTCCCACTACCTTCATCAACATTTGGCCACCACCACCACCACCAAACTTGAACCACTGTTGTCAACACTAACACCACCGTTACCGTCTCTTCTCCTCTTTCCCGGCTGATCTTATTACTCCACCTTCTTTATCTCCTCCGACATCGTCGAGCCTCTCCGACAACAACTCTACCCTATGTCAATCGTTGTTCATAATTTTAATTTGCATCCATCGCCATATATTCCTTGGATATAAATATCACATCCCATTTTTAGAAAACCATTGTGATTCAAAGTGTTCTTTTTTTTATAAATGACATGATATATTTCCAGCAAATGATAAATAATTTTTACATGATTTACGTTATTTTTATAGTCACCCTATCACCACTTCTGTGACCATCACCCACCACCATCATTAGCTCCATTTTGCACACTCTAAAAACACTCATAATTAAATAATATTAAAATTAATTATAAAATAATCTTTAGACACCCACCAAAAGTAATCAATGGAGGTAGTCTAACAATCACATGCTATTTTATTAAATGACATTATTTTTTCCTCTGATTCTCGTTGGATGTCTCTTACTCGTTGTTAGAATTCAAGTTTTGATTTTCTTTATTTTCAGATTTTGTGTTATTAGTATTTATTTGATTTTTTTCTCTTAATTACATGTATGTTTGTATTTTGTTTGAGGGCCAATTCATCTTTGAAAAAACATTAGTTTCCAAAGCTTTTTGCCTCATGGCTATTTCTTTAATATTTTTTGAGTCAAAGGTTAGATACTAATATTATCCTAAAAATAATTTATGACCAAAAAAAGAAAAAAAAGCTTTACCAGTAGAATGAAGTTAAAACAATAGTTGTGTTTCTGAAGAAATTAGTTAGTTTGCTTGGTGAGAAAATATGAGACAATATATTTGTTTGTATAGAGTTGAGTCCATTATCTAATATGAGAGAAGATATATATATATATATATATATATATATATATATATATATATATATATGTATAGTTTCTTTCTAACTTTTTTTCTCAAATTTCTATTTTTTTTTATAAGATACATATAGCTTCCTTATAATTATCTTCTTTAGATTTTTAGAATTGTTTTATATAAGATATATATGTATAGTTTCCATATAATATTTTTTTTTAATAAATAAAAGGAAATTTTTGTTTTAGACGTGTTAAAATCTTAGATCGATAAATATAATACATACATATAGTTTTGATATAAGTTTTTTTAATAAATTAGATAAAAAGAAAATTTTTATTTACACATGTCAAAATCTGAGATCGATAACTTTGGCACATGGCACAATCCTATGAGTTACTAACTTTGATAAAAGCAATTTTTAGAATTCAAGTTTTGATTTTCTTTATTTTCAGATTTTGTGTTATTAGTATTCATTTGATTTTTTTCTCTTAATTACATGTATGTTTGTATTTTGTTTGAGGGCCAATTCATCTCTGAAAAAACATTAGTTTCCAAAGCTTTTTGCCTCATGGCTATTTCTTTAATATTTTTTAGTCAAAGGTTAGATACTAATATTATCCTAAAAATAATTTATGACCAAAAAAAAAATGCTTTACCAATAGAATGCAGTTAAAACAATAGTTGTGTTTCTGAAGAAATTAATTAGTTTGCTTGGTGAGAAAATATGAGACAATATATTTGTTTGTATAGAGTTGAGTCTATTATCTAATATGAGAGAAGATATATATATATATATATATATATATATATATATATATATATATATATATAGTTTCTTTATAACTTTTTTTCTCAAATTTTTATTTTTATTTTATAAGATACATATAGTTTCCTTATAATTATCTTTTTTAGATTTTTAGAATTATTTTATATAAGATATATATGTATAGATTCCATATAATATTTTTTTAAAATAAATAAAAAGAAATTTTTGTTTTAGACGTGTTAAAATCTGAGATCGATAAATATAACATATACATATAGTTTCCATATAAGTTTTATAATAAATTAGATAAAAAGAATTTTTTTATTTACACATGTCAAAATCTGAGATCGATAACTTTGGCACGTGACACAATCCTATGAGTTACTAACTTTGATAAAAGCAATTTTTTAGAATTCAAGTTTTGATTTTCTTTATTTTCAGATTTTGTGTTATTAGTATTTATTTGATTTTTTTCTCTTAATTACATGTATGTTTGTATTTTGTTTGAGGGCCAATTCATCTCTGAAAAAACATTAGTTTCCAAAGCGTTTTGCCTCATGGCTATTTCTTTAATATTTTTTGAGTCAAAGGTTAGATACTAATATTATCCTAAAAATAATTTATGACAAAAAAAAAAGCTTTACCAATAAAATGAAGTTAAAACAATAGTTGTGTTTCTGAAGAAATAAAAGTTTGCTTGGTGAGAAAATATGAGATAATATATTTGTTTGTATAGAGTTGAGTCTATTATTTAATATGTGAGAAGATATATATATATGTATAGTTTCTTTATAACTTTTTTTCTCAAATTTCTATTTTTAGTTTATAAGATACATATAGTTTACTTATAATTATCTTCTTTAGATTTTTAGAATTGTTTTATATAAGATATATATGTATAGTTTCCATATAATATTTTTAAAAATAAATAAAAAGAAATTTTTGTTTTAGACGTGTCAAAATCTGAGATCGATAAATATAACACATACATATAGTTTCCATATATTGTTTTTAATAAATTTAATAAAAGGAAATTTTTTATTGACATGTGTCAAAATATGAGATCGATAACTTTGGCACGTGGCACAATCCTATGAGTTACTAACTTTGATAAAAGAAATTTTTTTATTTACACGTGTCAAAATCTGAGATCGATAACTTTGACATGTGGCACAATGCTATGAGTTATTAACTTTGAAAACCATAATTTATATAATAAGATAGACTCACGAATATCTCTTGTTTCTATATATTTTTCACTTCAAAAGTTGAGGTTTTTGTCAGTTATACAAAATCAAGCCAAAAACAGAAAATCCTTGTACTATTTTAAGTAACGTGTGTGAAAGAGTAAAGTATGATTTTCTTGATTTTATTATCAACAAGGAAAGAATATTTTATTCTGACACAGAAAAAAAGCCCTTGGTTAAAGAGTTACCGTGGAATATAAGAAAGGAATGCAAGAACAGAATTCACGTGTTATTAAAATAGCTTCATTTATAAATTTCCGGTCAAATAGTTAACAAATAATCTAATCCCTTATATATACGTACCTTGAGTAAGAAAGCATGATACAGCAAATTTTGATACTTAACGAGCTTAGTTTTTCCAGACAAAAAGAGTAATAACAATGCAAGTGATTCCACCAAAAATAAAAAAGATATTAGGCAAATGGAACATCAGAGGACTTGTGATATTATCTCTGTTGTTCCAAACGTCTCTTATCTTCCTTGCACCAATGCGGAAACGCACATCAAAGAAGTTGCTCGCTGCGTTTCTATGGACCGCATATCTTTTAGCGGATTGGACCGCTAATTATGCGGTGTCTCAGATCACTAAAAACCAAGGGAAAGAACCAGAACCTGACGATCCTCCAAAAAACAAGAAGCTTCTTGCTCTATGGGCACCATTCTTGTTGCTGCATCTTGGTGGTCCGGACACGATTACCGCGTTGGCTCTTGAGGATAATGCGTTATGGCAACGTCATTTGTTTGGCCTCGTCTCTCAAGCGCTTGCAGGTAAGAAAGGGTGAACACGTACGATTCATATACATATATATATATATCTTGGAAACTAAATTATATGTGCATTGCATGAAGATAGAACATTATTTATCCCTTATCAAGTAACAAATAGTAAAATGTAATATAGGCTTTTTAGGTTGGTATAACCAAAACCCTACAACGCGTGATAGTGAAAAAACCGCAGAAATCGATATTAAACCACTCGACTAAAAACATTTTTCCGCCCATTTCATTGTTTTAATGAAAATAATAGAAATTCTATTGTGATTAATTAAATAGTCATCAATTAAATCGTAACAAATAGTAATATGTAATATAGGCTTTTTCTTGGTTGTTTCTGGTATAACCAAAACCCTACAATGCGGGATGGTGAAAAAACCGCAGAAGTCGATATTAAACCACTTGACTAAAAATATTTTTCCGCCCATTTCATTGTTTTAATGAAAATAATAGAAATTCTATTGTGATTAATTAAATAGTCATTAATTAAATCGTAACAAATAGTAAAATGTAATATAGGCTTTTTCTTGGTTGTTTCTGGTATAACCAAAACCCTACAACGCGGGATGGTGAAAAAACCGCAGAAGTCGATATTAAACCACTTGACTAAAAATATTTTTCCGCCCATTTCATTGTTTTAATGAAAATAATAGAAATTCTATTGTGATTAATTAGATAGTCATTAACTAAATCGTTAAAAATCAATAACAGTTGGATCTATATGTAGAAAGAATCTCAATATTTTACCGTTTTAAGGATTAATTAGAACAAAACTAACCTCATTATTAAGGTTATAAGCCCTTTCTTATAACATTGTGATTATTATGTCGTTTTCAGGTGTTTATGCGGTGGTGCAATCGCTAGAAAACGCACTATGGCCACCAATCACACTTTTATTCATCACCGCAACGATTAAATACGTGGAGAGGACACGAGCATTGTACTCAGCGAGCTTGGACAAATTCAAAGACAGAATGCTTCAACGAGCAGACGCTGGTCCTAACTACGCTAAGCTAATGGAAGAATACGCTTCAAGAAAAAAGTCAAATCTCCCAACTGAAATCTTCTTAACCGACGAACCCGACAAGCACGAGAGACCCCCTACACTCGTTATACCGGACCGAAAATTAACCGATCTCGAAATCGTTCAATACGGCTACAAATTCTTCAACACTTTCAAAGGTCTTGTTGTTGATCTTATTTTCAGTTTCCGTGAGCGAGACGAAAGCAGAGATTTCTTCAATAAGTTGAAACCGGGAGAAGCTCTTCAGATTATCGAAACCGAGCTTGGATTTCTATACGAATCGATGTATACGAAAACCGCAATTCTTCATACGGGAATCGGTACTCTGTTTCGGTTAATTTCCTTTGGATCGCTTCTTTCTTCCTTCTTTGTCTTCCATCGTAGGCCACTTAAGTCTGAGGATTTTCATGGAGCAGATGTTGTGATCACTTACATTTTGTTTATAGTTGGTATCGCACTTGATCTTGCATCAATGGTCATTTTCTTGTTCTCGGATTGGACATTCGCGGTATTGAGAAAGCTTAAGGATGATCCAGAGGAAAAGAATAATAGTTCTATCGACTTTTTACTCAATTGGTTTCTCGCGTTTAGGAAACCGCGTTGGAAGGAGCATACATGCAACGAAAACCATACCCACGAGGTGCTCTCGACGGGGTTTTTGTCACGGAGATGGTCAGGCACGATCTACGGATTTAATTTCATCGGATTTTGTCTGAAAGCCAAAGTTTCAAGAATCCATAAGAAGAGAAACTGCAATGTTTTAGTGTGGGAATCCGTGGTTTCGCTATTCGATCTGGTGATCAGAAGAATCAAAATGTTGTTTGGATCGATCAAGAATGTTAATAGATCAATAAGAAGCGTGCTCCGGCAGTGGTCTAAAAAGAATCGGATGATTCGTTACACGGTTTACCCGATATTCCTCGTATTCTTTGCCGGTATTCCTGAAGTTTTTAGAGTCCTTTGGAAATACATTGATCGAATCTTCAGTGTTAAATCTTATCTAGACGAGATTAGGTTCATTTCTAGAGAGCCGTTGACGAAGAATCAATGGGAATTTATATTCAATGAGCTAAAGGATAAGTCCGGCTTTGCGGAAACACCTGAAGTTGCAAAGAAAGTGTCTTGGGCGAGAGGAGAATGGGCTTTACGAGATTCGAAATTGGCGGAAGTTGATACATTGATGCGTTATATAGAGAAAGTTGATTATGATCAAAGTCTCCTCCTATGGCATATTGCTACTGAGCTCTGTTTTCAAAAAGAAGATGGTGGGAAGATGGAGAATCTGAGCAAAGAAAGTTATGATGAACGAGAATTCAGCAAGATTATATCGGATTACATGATGTATTTGTTGATAATGCGACCGAAACTGATGTCGGAAGTGGCGGGAATCGGGACTATACGGTTCAGAGACACTAAAGCTGAAGCTGAGAGGTTTTTCAAAGGACGGCAAATCAAGGACTTGAGAGATATGAAACGAGCGAGTGAGACGGTTTTATTGGTTAGTACCGATATTGAACCGATTCTTGTGAAGGGAGATCGAAGCAAGTCGGTTCTTTTTGATGCGAGTATGTTGGCGAAAGAGCTTCAGAATTTGAAAGAGAGTAGTAATGATGGGAAATGGAAAGTGTTGAGCAAAGTGTGGGTTGAGTTGCTATGTTACGCAGCAAGTCATTGTAAAGCGACAGAGCATGTGGCGCAACTTAGCAGAGGCGGTGAGCTACTTAACTTTGTTTGGTTGTTGATGGCTCACTTCGGATTAGGAGATCAGTTTCAGATCAATAAAGGAGATGCTAGAGCTAAACTCGTTGTAGGAGAGTGATCGTTATATATAATATCTTTTTATTTTATTTATATTGTGTGTCTGTGATTTGTAATATCTTTTGGCTCTGTTTCCAATTTCAAGCACATTTCATTTGATTGTCGACTCAGTACCGAAACCAAGCAGAATTTGCATTGATCTGTAATACAAACACAATCTTCATAAATGACTCCTTTCGGACATAGACTATTTCGTGAAAAGACCGGCTAAACCGTTCATTAAGACTAAGGAGAATAGGAGGTGTTAGAATCGTCCAAAGCTCGATTTTAGGAAGAAAAAAAATACGAGGAAGGAATAAAGTATTATTTGCTCGAGCCTTGTCTTACAAGGAATACTCTAGGGTTTTGGATCAACTTAGGGTTTCGAAAAAATTGGCAATTCGAAAAGCGTTTGGAGAATTGGTTAGAAGTCAATAAGATGGATTAAGTTTTGGTGTATAACCATGAATCTGTGAAAGCTTAAGGGACATGTGTTTTACATGATCAATAGCGATACTTTGCTTCTTCTTTTGTTTCCACAGAGATTTTGTTCTCTTCCATTTCTTCGCCTGATGAGGAAGTAAGGAACAGTATCTTGATGCTTTTCCTCTGTCTCTGTTCGATGTCTATGGGATGTTGTTTTCATGTTATAAAAAAGGAAGACTTTTTGAGTTTCTTATTGAGAGAAAAAAAAAAGAAAAGAGGACCGCTCACAAGGTGTTCGTTAAAATACCTGAATGACATCTTTTCGGTAAAAAGACTTTATAAGGTACAAACAATGTTTTGCCTGTTCTTTTCAATAAAAGCTTTTTTTGTTATTTGGGTTGCATATAATCACTGTTGGAGACATATTACACTCATTGGAGTTTTGCACAAGCCAAAATGTCGAACATAACTTAGGATCATAAATCTTGTTTCTAGTCTTTAAACAATGGTTACTACATGGAAAAGTATTCGTTTTGGCTTCGCTTCATCGGGTTCATATTTCGAGTTGGTTCTTCATCAACTAGTCCCATGTCTGACAGATATCTTGTTAGCTAGGTCTGCAAGTTGTCTCTCTGATTTTTTATTTCGAAGAACTCTACGCATCATATGCAGTTGAATCACACACATCAAATCTTCATCCTTTGTAGGGAATTGCAGGTACTCGTTACCATTCTGATCATGGCGCAGCAAGAATATAATATCGACAAGATTATCAGCTACCTATCTGAGTTGCAGACTCAGCTAAGTCAAATACCTCTATCCAAGAAAGCTACTGTTAACAACAATGAACAGCCGAGCGAAAGACGAAGTGAGGAGAAGAGACACACCAAGTCCTGTGAAAGACGAAATGAGGAGAAGAAGAGACCATCTTGGTGGGTTCGGTTCAAAGAAAAACTTAAAAAAATTTGTAAGGTGAAGAACGAGGCTACAAACCATGCAAGCGACAGTGAAGACAGTCAAGGCGGAAGCAGAAGAATCATGCGATACACTGACGAAGATGAAGATGCAGACCTCGAGATCCGGAAATTGCAGAGTGACGTTGGTCAGATGATATCTGCCTTTAAGAATTTGACTCAGTTTCAAAACAATATGAGCAAGTTGTTGGAGCATGATCTTCGTTCAAGTATGGTTGGAGAAATACTACAGAAGACGGATTCAATCAAGTCCCGCACTCAGGATCTCAAAGAAATCAGAAGAAAGATCTCCGCCTTGAAGTGCCAGATCCCATCATCGCTCTACAAACAATCATTCAGGGTGTTAAGCATCACGGAATCTCTAACCGATGAGGATATTGATGAGATCAATGAGACCGGGAGCGACATATACTTGCCCGGCCTCCACGTTTCTGAAGATTTCAAATTTACCTCAGGTTTTGAAGAAGTTGTTGAGAAATTTCAAGGCCTTGATGACTTCACTCAGAAGCTCTGCTTGTTGTCCTTCGCCGTGTTCCCGGAAAACAGAGAGGTTACAAGGACAATGTTGATGTATTGGAATTTCCTAGTAAAAGATTCCTCGTTGCTACGAGACTCATTATTATATAGGTAAAATGGGACTAGTTAAAAAATGGGAAGCTTATCATGAAGAAATCATCGAAGAAAAAGGTCTGCCTAGTAAAAGATTCCTCGTTGCTACGAGAAGCAAAAACATCTGCAATGAAACCGGGAACCTTGCAGACGGTGTTCAATTCCTCTGAACGGTTCCCTGATTTCACATTCAAGTGGTTTCCGTTAATGGATTCACTTAGAGTGCTTTATTTAGGAAGATGGGAGCGGACGGATGAGCGCCACATTGAAGTTAAGAACACAGGGTTTCTTAAAAATATAAAATCACTGAAGAAGCTGTGGCTTGCAAGTTTTAAAGGGATCTCAGGAATCGAAAAGATCGAAAACTCTGTTTGTGCGCTCCAAAACTTGGTGATCTTGGATCTTAGAGCATGCTACGATCTACAGGTTCTTCCTAACGATATAGGCTCACTTGAGAATCTGATTTACTTGGATGTATCAAAGTGCCTTATAGATCGCATGCCTAATGGGTTTGAAAGACTCTCAAGATTAGAGGTTCTTAAGGGATTTGTGATTAGTCAGTCAGATGATGAAGACAATTGTGCATTTAAACACCTGGTGAAGCTGAGGAAGCTAAGCATAACCATAAAAAATAACCGTTTCAAGGCGGAAAATCTAATTGAGTCACTGAGAGACCTCATGCGACTTGAGAGTCTGACAATCGCATGGAGAGCGCGATTCCCTGTGGATGACCGAAGAGGAGAAGAAACTAAAGAAGCAGAGGAGTATGGAGAAACAACAAACGAGGAGAAGGAGAACCAAAACAAGAGATGGATAAGAATGCTAGAAAATCCAGCAATAGATGATATCTCTAAGCTTCCTTCTAGTTTGAAGAAGTTGAAGCTAGAAGCTTACCCTGGCAAATACCCTCCAAGTTGGTTAAATCCCAAAAATCTTTACAATCTTGAAAAGCTCTCCATCGAGGGAGGAAACCTTAGCAGAATCAGTGACGAACCTCCAACAGAAGAAAACAGTTTCGGCGTTCAGATCTTGCGTTTGAAGTATCTTCATGAATTCATGGTTGAGTGGAGAGATTTGCAAGCTCTGTTTCCAAATATGATACTGTTGGAGAAATATCAATGCCCAAAAGTCACATTCTGTCCCACAAATGGTAATGGTGTCTGGAAGAGGTCGCAGCCACAGATGGTAATAGAGTCTAAAGGTTCCAGCCTAGTCCGACCCCAAAAAAAAACCGACCGCGGAAAAGCCCGAAAATGTTGGTGCTTGTAAAGCTTGCGGGTAGACCTGCCGGGTTTTGAGTTGGCCCATGGGTACTATGTGTATGTATTTTATTCAAGTGAAGTATTTCTAGTTTGATTTTGGTGATTCAATATAATTTTCTTATACTATGTTACTACTGTGCATCAATTATGTACAATTTGAACTCAAGTTAAGTCGGATTTCAAAACGAAATTTGAATAAGTAAATTAATTTTCAAATTGATTATATACACAATCTACAGCATCATACAAATGAAAACCCCAAATCACATTTTCTGTTTTATAATTTGTAACTTAGTTTTCTAGCAAATTCCATAATAGTCCAGATATTATACCATTCAAAGCTAAGAACTTAAAATCATCCAAAATGTTAAGTAGCTTAACTTTTTTAAATTTAAAACTATAATAATAAAAATAAATTAAAAAACTTTAGAAGCTGTGTTTTACCTTATTATTACAAAACAGATTAATCCACTTCATCAACTACAACAATAAAAAAGTCTTCCTTGTAAGCAACCAGAAGTTTATATGAGTAGAGAAGAAAGTCTTATTTGCTCGAACCTTGTTTTACAAGGTATAAATCTAGGGTTTCAAAAAAAAAAGTTGGGTTTTTGGAGAAATTGGTTAGAAGTCGATAAGATGGATTAAGTTTTGGTGTAACGATGAATTAATGGAAGCTTAAGGGTCATGTGTTTTACATGGATATCGATACTTTGCTTCTTCTTCTTTTTTCCACAGAGACTTTCTTCTCTTATAATTCGATTTCTTCGCCTAATGAAGAAGCAAAGAACAGTGACTTAGATGCTTTTCCTCTGTCCTTGTTCGATTTCTATGGGAAGTTATCTAAATGTTATAAAAAGGGAAGAGTTCTTGAGTTCTTTATTCAGAAACAAAAGATCGCTCACAAGGTGTTCCATAAAATACTTAAATGACATCTTTCTGGTAAAAATACTTTTATAAGGTACGTGCTTATTTTTCTCGGAAAAAAAAAAATCTTTTTTTTGTTTGGTTTGCATATATCTTATCTTATATATATATATATATAATATATGACAAGGTTTCTTCGAAACAATCTCTAAAAATGTGACATTTGGCGTTTTACTCTTTTGACATATGTCATTTTTAGTTTATTTTTTAATTTAAGTGCAATAAATCTGTTTATTTTATTTTTGAGAACAATAACCACAATAGTCCTTAATTCAAATTATAAAATAAAATCAAAATTATTTGATGATAAAATAGTTTAAGGATATTTTGAATAAAGAGATATTTTCCTACATTTTATCTTTTTTCACATAATTTATAGTAAAAAATAAAGATCAAATTATTAGGCGACAAAATAGATAATAAATATATTAATAAAATTGACTTTATCTATATCTTATTAAACCACAAACATAATACATTTAATTCTTTAATCATATATATTAATCCACCTTTTAATACTAAATTGTAACCTAAATCATATAAATTGTGTATTAACTTTTTTCTCTCTATTCAATGGCATTCAAACACACTATTAACTATTATTGTAACTTCCATAATTTAATTATTTAAAAATGAATGTATTTTCTCATGGTCGAGGTTACATTTAAATATTAATTTACTATAATTTATTTCATATTTATAAGAATAGCACAATACGACATACCAATCTCAAATCTCAACATGAGAGACCTAATATCCATAAAAAAAAAAAAAATACCTAAGGTTTTGAGCGTAGATTTGTTTTTTTAAGTGCTATCTCTTCCTTTAATATGATGCTTTAAATTTAATTTTATTGGTTTCTAATCTTTTTTCCGTCATATGTAATTTTCTTTGTTTTTTATGTCATTTTTCTAAGTATATTTCACTACATAATGTCATATGTTATTACGTTTATAATGGTAAGATATGATGTGTATATTTGAATTCTATTATTTTTGATCAGAAAATAAAGAAAATATTTCCTAATATATATATGTTTTGTGTATGTAGACTATACTGTTAAAAATATCTCTATATGGTGATGAATTTTGTTTAGCTAACAATTCTAAATAGGTGGCAAGTTTTCAAAATCACTAAATACAATTTCAAATCTTATATAAAAATAGTTTTAAAAGTTATTTTACACATATATAAAAGTTGCTCTTTTTTTTTTGCCAACATGAACCATATTTTTCTTCTTCCTTTAAAATAAATTATTATGAAAAATTAATTTTCTGATTAATGCGGTATAAATTGAAAAAAAATTAACAATCTTCAACTTAGCAATTTTCAATAATTACTATGACATCTTATATATATATATATATTTTTCCTCTTTACTGTCGTTTTAAAACCGAGAATTAACATATATAAGATATTCTAATATTTGTTTTAATCGATATGTGCCATATTTTTCTTATTTTGTTTTTCTTTTCACTTTCAAATAAATAATGAACATCCTTACATCCTGTTATTAATAAATGATTTTTTTATTAATGGAGCATTAATTGTATAAATTACCTCCTAAGACCATCTCCAATGTAAATCTCAATATTTTACTCTAAAATAGAGCATGATTTCTCTCCAATGTATCACTTTATACCCTACTCTAAAATAGAGGTAAAAAAAAAATAGAGTTCCTCTATATATAGAATAATCTTCTCTTTTACTCTATTTTAGAGTGAAAATATAGAGTAGGGTTGGAGAGAATTGTGCTTTATAATAGAGTCTAGAGAAAAAAAATAGAGTGGAGTTGGAGATGCTCTAATGATGTTTAAGTCGCCTACATTTTAAATCACTATTTCGACATTTTATATATTATAAAATTAATATACCTAAATTTCTATTATTTTAAAGTAAACAGATAACATAAGGGAAAAAAAATAATATTGAATAAGCTCTTATAAAATCGATTTTACAACACTTATGAATACTACCGTTTAAAATTATGACTACAGATGCTTATAATTTCCTTTCTAATTTAAAAGACTAATAGCTATGTGAACTAACTATTTACATAAACAATGAATAAATCAAATTATCAAAATGGATGCAAGAGATATAAATGATAATTTAACATAACATCCATGATATAAATAGGGTGATTTTGAAAACTACCATGTTTTTTAAGATAACAAAATATTATCTCAACTCTCTAATTTTTTTCACATCTTGTCCACCGTCCTTTTTTTTTTTGACACAAAATCCTCTCATTATTTTTCTAATATCCCTGGAAATGTTAATTCACAAGCCTTTCAAATATATTGATAATGTTTTGTCAATTCATATGATTCATTTAAACATGTAAATTACAACTTTCTAAGTCATTGTAGAGAATAAATAAATGGAAGATTTTTTTTGCTAATACTTTTAGTGAATAATATGGAAGATTTTTTTGTTAATACGTTCTTTATAATTAATACAGGTTCTAATATGTTTTAGGTTAAACTAATTTATTTTTCTTACGATAAAATATATTCAAACTATTCCCACGCATCGCGTGTGTTATTTTCTAGTATATATATATATATATAATCGACTTTTGGTGACATTACACTTCTTCATCTGCATAATTATGAAGTACCCAAAATGTAGAACACAACTTAGGATCATAAAGCTTGTCTCTTTATATAAACCATAGTACATGTAAAAGTCTTTGTTTCGCTTCGGTTCATTCGGGTTAATAGTTCACCATTTTCTGATATATACTTGAATAATGAGACCTGCACTTAGTTCTTCACTTTTCAAGTAGTTGTAACCGTAGGCAGTTTTCTAGTCTTTTCATAATGGTTGTCAGTATAAAGGAAAGTCTTCGTTTCTGCTTCGGTTCATCGAGTTAATTTATCGCCATTTTCTGACATATACATGAATGAGACCTTGATAAGGTGCTTCAAATAGTCCCATAGCTGACAAATTAACTGTTAAACTAACTCCATTTACTCTCTGTTTTTTTTTTCTGTACTAAAATAGAAGAACTCTACGCATCAAACGCAGTTGAATCAAACACACATTAGATCTTCATCCTTTGTTGGGAATTACAGGCGCTCTTTACCGTTCTGATCATGTCGACGAAAGAATGTGATATCTATAAGATTATCAAAATCCTATCTCAGTTAGACGCTGACCTGAAGAAGATAGCTGACCTGAAGAAGATACCTCTATCCAATAAAGTTATTAGCCACAAGGAACAACAAGGCGAACAAAGTGAGGAAAAGAGATCTTGGTGGGTTCGGTTCAGAGCAAGTTTTGAAAGAATTTGTAAGGCGAAGAAGGACGCTTCCAACAATGCAAGCGACAGTGGAGGTAGTCAAGGTGGAAGCAGAAGAAGCGTGCAAGACATTGAAGAAGATCAAAAGAATGAAGAACTCGAGATACGGAAATTGCAGAATGATATTCGTCAGATGATAGCTGCATTTAAGAGTTTAACTCAGTTTCAAACCGAGATGAGCAATCATTTGGAGCGTGATCTTCGTTCAAATAAGTTAATAGCAATACTACAAAGAAAGAATTCATTTGGATCCCGCTCTCACGTTGTCAAGGAAATCAGAAGAAAAGTCTCCGCCTTGAAGTGCCAGATCCCATCATTGCTCAACAAACAACCATCAAGAAAGATAAGCATCACGGAATCTCAAACCGCTGAGGAAAATGATGAGATCAGTGAGACCGGGATTGACATATACTTGCCGGGCCTCCACGTTGCTGAGGAATTCAAAAAATCCTCAGCTTTTGAAGAAGTTGTTGAGAAATTTCAAGGCCTTGATGACATCACTCAAAAGCTCTGCTTGTTGTCCTTCGCCGTGTTCCCGGAAAACAGAGAGGTTACAAGGACAATGTTGATGTATTGGTGGATCGGAGAAGGTTTCATCAGTTGTGATGATTCTGAAGGTTTCATCAGTTGTGATGATTCTGAAAACAAAGTAAAGAGAATTCTTGATGCATTCTCAGCAAAAAAATTACTTGAGCCGGTCGAAGATGAGAGGAAACTACTACCAAATAGTTACAAGATGGAGCCTCATGTGCATTCTGCAATTATATACTTAGCCAAAGAAATGGATCTATTTGAACTCTACAACCATAATGGGAAGCTTATCATGAAAAAATCATCGAAGAAAAAGGTCTGCCTAGTAAAAGGTTCCTCGTTGCTACCAGACGCAAAAACATCTGTTATGGAACCGAAAACATTGCAGACGGTTTTCAATTCCTCTGAACGGTATCCTGATTTCACATTCAAGTGGTTTCCGTTAATGGATTCACTTAGAGTGCTTTATTTAGGAAGATGGGAGCGGATGGCTGAGCGTCACATTGAAGTTAAGAGCACAGAGTTTCTTAAAAATATAATTTCTCTGAAGAATCTGAGGCTTGCAAGTTTTCAAGGGATCTGGAGGATAGATAGGCTCGAAAATTCAATTTGCGCACTCCCCGAGTTAGTGATCTTGGATCTTAAAGCATGCTACAATCTAGAGGTTCTTCCTAGCGATATAGGCTTATTTGAGAAACTGATTTACTTGGATGTATCAGAGTGCTATATGCTAGATAGCATGCCTAAGGGGATTGCAAAACTCTCCAGATTACAAGTTCTCAAGGGATTTGTGATTAGTGAGTCGGATCATGAAGATAATTGTGCAGTTAAACACTTGAAGAATCTGAGGAAGCTAAGCATAACCGTAAACAAATACTCTTTCAAGGTGGAAAGTCTGATGAAGTCGTTGACAGGACTCCAACAACTTGTGAGTCTGAAAATTGCGTGGGGAGCTAGTGAAGAACCTAACCAAGCAGTTGAGTCTAGAGAAACAACAAACGAGGAGAAGGAGAACCAAGGAGGTCCTGCAACAGACAAGAAACTCAAAGACCTGATGGGACGAGATGATGACCAAGTGCAGAAGAAGGGACAGACGAGCAAGGAGGAGAAAGGAGATGTAGAAGAAACGGGCAAGCAAGAAGATGGCGTCAGTAGCAAGAAAGGAGATGGAATAAATGAAGAAGCTAATCTGGAAGACGGGAAGAAGCATGATGAGGTAAAAGAAGAGAGATCATTAAAATCTGACAAGGTCGTCGAGGAAGAGAAGAAGACAAGTCCTTCCGAAGAGGCAACAGAGAAGATCCAGAACAAGCCTAGCGATCAGAAAGGGAAGAGCAATGTGGAAGGAGATGGAGATAAGGGGAAGGCTGACCTAGAAGAAGGAAAGAAGCAAGATGAAGTAGAAGCAGAGAAATCTAAATCAGATAAAGTTGTTGAGGCAGAGAAGAAGGCCAGTCCTCCCCGAGATTCATCAGACATGATCCAAAAGAAGCCAGATGATAAAACCAAAGTAGAAAACAAAGGAGATGGAGACAAAGAGAATGATGATTTAGATGAAGGAAAGAAAAGAGATGAGGTAGAAGCACAAAAATCAGAATCAGACAAAGTTGTTGAGGGAGATGAGAAGGCAAGTCCACCACAAGAATCCAAAGACATGATCCAGAACAGGACAGATGATCAAACCAAATTGGAAAAGGAAGGCGAGAAGCATGATGAGGTTAAAGCAAAAAAACCGGAATCAGACGAAGTTGTTGAAGGAGATGAGAAGGCAAGTCCACCACAAGAATCCAAAGACATGATCCAGAACAAGACAAATGATCAAACCAAAGTGGAAAAGGAAGGAGAGAAGCATGATGAGGTTAAAGCACAAAAATCAGAATCAGACAAAGTTGTTGAGGGAGATGAGAAGGCAAGTCCACCACAAGAATCCAAAGACATGATCCAAAACAGGACAGATGATCAAACCAAAGTGGAAAAGGAAGAAAAGAAGCATGGTGAGGTAGAAGCAGGGATCTCGAAATCAGAGAATGGTGTTGAAGGAGTCAATAAGGCTAGTCCTTCCCGGGAATCAACAAACGCGATCCAGAACAAGCCCGATGATCACCAAAGAGGTGACAAACAAGAAGAGAAAGGAGATGGAGAAAAGGAGAAGGTTAATCTAGAAGAAGGGAAGAAGCACGACGAGATAAAAGCAGAGAGCTCAAAACAAGACAAGGTTACAGAGGGAGATGCGAAGACAAGTCCACCACAAGAATCTAAGGACACAATGGAGAGCAAGAAAGATGATCACAAAGAAAATAGCAAAGTGCAGGAAAAGGGAGATGGAGACAAAGAGAAGGCGGCTGATCTAGATGAAGGAAAGAAGAAAAATGAGGTAATAGAAGAGAGCTCAAAACCAGACAATGTTATCGAGGGAGATGAGAAGAAAAATCCACCACAGGAATCGAACGACACAGTACAGAGCAAGCCAGATGATCACAGAGAAATTAGCAAAGTGCAGGAAATAGGAGATGGAGAAAAGAACGGAGATGATTTAAAGAAGCTTGATGGGGGAGAAGCAAAGACTCAGAAGTCACACAAAACCACCAAGTTTGGTAAGAACGTGAGTTTGTCTGAAAAATCCAAAGCTCCGAAGAAGCCAGATGATCCGAAAAGTGACAACACAACGGCGGCAGAGATTCATGAAACACCATCACCATGTTGGAAATCAATATCAAGGAAAGCAAAACTGTTAATGGGAATGGGCAACCAAACCAAGAAATGGGGAATAGGATGGCAAGAAGATCAATCAAGAGATGATACCTATAAATTCCCTGATAGTTTGAAGAAGTTGGAGCTAGAATGTTTCCCTGAAACAGAACCTCCGAGTTGGTTAAATCCCAAAGATCTTAAAGAGCTTAAAAGACTCTCCATCAAAGGAGGAAAACTTAGTGGAATGAGTGACGAAAGTCGAAACACAGAAGACAAATGGGCCGTTAAGATCTTGCGTTTGAAGTATCTGCATGAATTCAAGGTTGAGTGGAGAGATTTGAAAGCTCTGTTTCCAAAAATGACACTGTTGGAGAAATATAAATGCCCTAAAATCGCATTCTGTCCAACAGATGGTAATGGAGTCTGGAGGTCACAGCCAGAGACATCACCAAATATGTGAAAATAAGCTGCATAGTTTCTCAATAGCCTCTGTTTACTTGTTTAGAGATCATGTATCTGTCTCTACACCCTGAATAATTACACATTCCTGCGTATGTAATTAAATATTTATCGTTCTTCTTGCCTTAATATCAAAAGATCGTTCAAATAGAAAAACAATCAAAACAATGGTCTTATTCACCCAGACAAGAACAGAACACCATGCCAGGGATTTCACAGCAGAAAATATCTTAAAAGAGAAACATGAAACAGTAAAAACATAACCGGTAAGATGATGTTTCAAAGCCGGTTCGTTATTCAACACAAAGCTTCAGCCACACGCAGGAAAAAATATGAAAATGATTTAGAGGCGACAACGATCCAGATGTTCAGTATCTTGCTCCAGCTACTTTTATGATCAGCATTCTTGTGGTGGTGGTGCATTACTGAGCTCAACCATAACGTATTCCTGAAAATACACGCAGTGTAAAATGCTAAGATGAAGCTGAAAAGAGACAAGATTTGTTGCAAGATGACTCAAACACCTACGACCTGCAAAACAGAGAAAAATATGATGCAACTAAATTTTTAACAATTTGGATTTGGAAGTGTTCCTCTTCTGATGAATTCTGAAGTGTGCTACAATGTAAAAGAGATGCATTAATGGTCCCCAAATGTTCACTGGAGAGGTGATAGAGTAGAAAGTTTCAACTTACCGAGCTTGTAGTCTCCGATGATGGAAGGATTTTGTAGAACTTTGGGCAATTCTCCACTTCCAAATTCAGATTAGTGTGAGTTGACACTTCAACTCCTACAACAACTTTCTCCAGATTCTCACAATGCTTTAAATTCAGGACTGGTAGGCTGGCAGGCATCTCCGGGAAAATCGTTTTGATTTTCGGGCAGCAATCTAAGCTTAGGTTCTTCAGATTCTCCAACTTACCGACAGAGCTTATAGTCTCCAACGATAGAAGGTTTGTAATCGACAAAGTCTCCAGTGACTTCAAGTGTTCCTCATCCACACCAGCGAAAAGATCTTTTATGTCAAAGCACATCCTTAGCCAGCAACCCTTCACCGATTTGGTTTTGTTAAAGATAGATGTGAGCCTTTCAGGAGTACAGTCCACAAAGGACACAAACTCAGCATTAGCTAGTGCTTCCTCATCTAGCTTATTAGTTTCATTGATCTCCAAGACTTCTTGTGGAATTTCGGAATCAACAAGTGATGATAGTGTCTTCTTATATAGAGCCCTCTCTTTGGGGACTTTGAGAAGACGTTCCTTGCTGACATCTCCCTTCTCAGTACGATCACTGGCGCGAGGTTCATCTGATTGAATCTCTCCTGTTTCTCCAGACTTGTTTTCTGTGATTTCTTGGGATGTAACAACTGCATCAGAGGAACTGGCTTTCTCAGATCTATCACATGACATTTTTCTCCTTACTTCGTTCCAATCCTTACCTTCAAAATACTCTCCATCTGCCCGGGTAAAACGCTTCAGACAATGGATTTTGGTCTCCTTTGGCAACTCTGGTGTCTCCACTTTGGTTCCAGACAGATTCACTTCACGTAGGTAAAACATGTTCTCAAATGATCCCTCAATCTTCTCCAGCTTGGCACTGCCGGAAACATCAATGACTTCGAGATTTTCGAGTTTCTGGATGTTAGGGATAGCATCTAGGTTGATGCAATTCCGTAGGAGAAGTTTGTTGAGTCCGGACAGCTCCTCAATGGTGGTAGCCAACTCGCTAAGATTAGTTCCCGAGAGATCAAGAGTTTTGAGTTCATGCTTATCCTCGAAGCACACTTCAAGCATTTCCACTAAGCTCGTAGTGCCAGAAAGATCAAGAATTTGGAGTCCTGACAAGGGCTTCAAACTAGGCAACCTTCTCAATTTGCTACAGTTGCGCAACAAGAGCCGAGTCAAGGAGTGAAGCTTGGCGGCCACCGCAGAGTCCTGGAATATTGGCAGTCGCTCTATTTGGCTCTCCGAGAAGTCAAGAAGCTGAAGTTTTGTAAGAAGATAAAAGTTTTTGTTTTTGCTTTTGTTTTTCTTGTTACCTTCTGCGTTGTCGAAACAAGTTCGAAGCCCATGAGCACCAGAAATATCAACAACCTCGAGATTTAGTAGATCCTGTATGTTTGGCAGATCTTCCAATAAAGGGCAGTCCTTGATGATGAGACAGTGAAGTTCCTTCAGGTCAGAAATACTGGAAGGGGAAGATGTGATCTTAAGCCCAGAAAGGTGAAGACTTCGGAGTTCAAGAAATGACTTGAAGAATTCAGGAGAGATTTTCTTCAGGGAGCTAGCACCAGAAACTTCAAGAGCGTTTAGCTTTGTAAGAGCCTTAAGCTCTTCAATACTTTCCAGTAGATCACAGTCCCTGATCACAAGAACCCGGAGGAGTATGAGATGATCTGTAAAAGGCGGGACAACAAGAGTTTTGGGCTGATCTGTAAAAGACGGGACAACAGGTTGCTCTATGCGTTTAAATTCCAGTGTGGGTTCAAAAAGACCAAGTACTTCAAGCTCTTTCAGCTTCTTAAAGAACTTTGCAGGAGTTTCACGGCGCAGACGATCTCCACTAACCAGAATCGTGGTAATCTTGTCTCCTTTCTTTGCTTGCACTGTTTTAATCATATCATCTAGCTGGGTGATTTTCCCTATACCTTTTTTCTTGTTACCACCATAGACTCTAGAAAATCCAAGCCGAGATTTCCCTAAATGCCCACCACGTCGAGGATCAATTACATTTCTCATCGCCATCTCTGGTACCACCACATTGTTTTCTTGTATCTTCAGCATTCCGCGGTCTATAAGCTCCATGAAGATAGAATGACCGTTCTGGTACGCCTTTTCGACAGACCTAACAGGATCAAAGTAGCCATCAAGAATCCATTGTGTGATCAGGTCACGGTAGTAAACACAACCACAATGCTCAAAGAAGTCCAAGCTATGCCAAAAACAATCCAATATTGTATCCTTCAATGGACCGTCGGTTTTGAACAGCTTGTATGCAAGAAGCAGGATTGGATTTTCTCCACTTGCTTTCTTAGGGTTCTCAGAACTAGATTCTGAATCGGATGGAACATTCCGCTCAGCCGAGAGAACCATTTCTATCTTTTCTTTTAGTAACTTGTCTTCTTCTTCCTTATTAAGCTTATAGGACTCGCTCGTAACAGTGTAATATAGGGACTTGGCGAGCACGACGATTGCAGCCGGCAAATTCTTGCTCTTTTTCAGCATGTGGGGTATCAGTTCCTCATCAGTCTCATGAAAGTTTCCAAAGAAAAATGCTGGCATATCCCTGATTGTGAAAATGGACGAAAATAAAGCCTCTGCCTCCTTGTCTTTGAAGGATTCAAGTAAAGCTTGCGACTCATTTGTGTTATTGAAATTTCACCATAAGTGTTTGTGCCACCCCATAAGTCATCTATGGTAGAAGCCGGTTTCTCCTCTGCCTTGATCTGGGCATGAGACTCAGGTACCTCCTCATTGATTGTGTCGGTGTCACGTGATTTATTTTCGTCTTCACCATCGGTTTCCTCTTTCTTTTCCGCGGAATGCGAATCATCTTCCCCCTCAATCTTCTCACCAGATTTTGTATCCTCCTCATTTTCCTGTCTTCTTGTAATAAAGATTTTTCGAGGCGTGTGATCTTTCAGAAAATCCTCAAGGCCTAAATGCACCATCACCTCGTACTCACTGGTCATTCCTTCATCGTCAAGAATTAAAAGAAGATACGGCTTTCTTTCAGATGATGTATCTCCTCCGGCTACTACTTCAGTCGTTTTCTCCTTCCCGGCATCCGTTGGATTCTTCTTCTCGGGATCTTTAGCTTTTTTCGCATGCGGATCCACCAGTTTTCTCTCAGCCTCCAGTTTATCTGCGGCTTCCTTCAACTTCTTCTTCTTGTCATCCTTCAATTTTTCCTCAACGGCTTCCTTCTTTTCCAAGAGATATTTCTCAATCTTAGGCTTCAAATCCTTTAGCAAATCTTCCACCTTCTTCTCCTCCTCCTCATCTTCATCTCTTTCACCGACTTCAGTCTCTTCAAAATCAGAATATAAAGATAGTTGTGAAGCTATGTTCTCATAAAGAGACCATTCATCTTCAAACTTCTTCTCCTTGACATACTTGTCGTTGACTTTAAACTTCCTGTTGAGATGCAACCAGAGAGTCTGGTAGCACAAGTCGTCCTTAGCAGCTTCTTTGTCTACCATCTGTGCCATCCTTGTCTTCCCGATTCCAGATTCGCCAACCAGCAATACTCTTTGAGCAACATCTCCTCCCAGACCCAGAGTTTCCACTATCTTCTTACACAACACCACATCCTTCGTTTCTTCAGGCAAACTTCGAGAACCCATTGCTGGAACTTGATGAACCCAACCAAAAAAAAAAAGTCAACCAAATTGGTAAAAACACAATCCAACCAGTTCTTAGATAAATTTGAGACACATAGAAAGATATTGGTTGGTCTACAAGATCATGATATCATAACAAATTGCAGTATATTATTCATAGATCGAGAGAATAGTAATCTGGTTTAATCACCACCGTCTCTGCCATCTTCAAGGGATCAGATATTCGTCGCTGATGAGAGTTAGTCTTCTCTCTTTCTCGAGCTCTTTGCCTTCTCCACAGAGCAAAGTCAACCTCTGCTTTGTCTCTCTCACTATGTCTCCCTTTACTTTTTTTCTCTCCATTGTCTCTCTCTCTCTTTTAACATATTTTTTCTGAGGGAAAATAAATAATCACTGACGTATTTATATTTCTTTTTTAGAGTGGCAGTGTTAGTATTAGGAAAAACTAAGAAATGTACCACATTTGGAAACTCCTTTCCAATCCTACCACATTTGGAAAGTGGAGTTACGATTTTACCCCTCCCTTGTTGGGGCAGTTTTCGCGCTTCACGATGCAACGATTTGACTTTTTTTAACTGTTTTGCTTTCCTATTTATCTCTCATCCCTCGAGAGACGTGCGTTTTAACAGAGAAACATTATCTCTCATGAGACTAAACAATTAACTTTCGTTTTTGTCTCGAGGTCTTGTCTTCGATTGGAAATTCTCTGTTGTGTCTAGATCTTGTCCCCGATTTCATCATCCTGCTCTATTATCATGAATCTCACATCTTGTCCACCAATTGTTCTCGTTTAAAAGTTTTGAATTTTATATAGATTTCACATCATCTATTTTGGTTTACAGATTAGTTGAGCACTATTGTCTTCACCTACACGGATTATTGAACTTTTTTTCCTTCTATTGCGGAATAACAGAAAGATCCAGTTGTCCCCGAGTAAATCCAGATCTTTGGCGGACAAAACCACACCATCTGGCGATGGACAATAAAGAGAATTAGATGATAAAAATCATCATGCTCAATTTTTGATCTAATCATATTACTCATTCTATTTGAACTTGTCCCCGATCTAATTATATTATCCATTCAATCTGAACTTGTCCCTGATCTAAATCTATTACTCATTCCATATGAACTTGTCCCGATATGATTCTATTACTCATTCGATCTGAACTTGTCCATGATCTACTTTTATTACTCATTCGATATGAACTTCTCCTTGATCTAATTCTACTACTTATTCGATATAAACTTATCCCCGATCTAATTCAATTACTCATTCGATCTGAACTTGTCCCCGATCTAATTATATTACTCATTCCATATGAACTTGTCCCCGATATAATTATATTACTCATTCGATCTGAACTTGTCCCCGATCGAATTCTATTACTCATTCCATATGAACTTGTCCCTGATCTACTTCTATTACTTATTCGATATGAACTTGTTCTTTATCTAATTCTATTACTCATTCCATATGAACTTGTCCCCGATATAATTATATTACTCATTCGATCTGAACTTGTCTTGATCTAGTTCTATTACCCATTCGATATAAACTTGTCCCCGAGCTTAATTTTATTTTTCTCTTCGTATGTCCCCGAGTATTTGTTGGATCTTGCTGAAGACCTTGAAAGATCTAACCCTACTCTATTAATATATTATTTAATTATAATTATAAGTAATTGTAAACGTACAACATTTATTGCAGCCTGGTCCCTCTTCTCCAGCCACTGCCAACTTGTCCTTTTATCTGACACAGCTTTATGTCACCATCAAGGGAAATTTCGTCCGTTATTTTGCATGTGGCAGAGAAATGTGGTAGATTTGGAAAGCTTTTTCAGAATGTGGTAGATTTGGAATGCCACATATCTAAAAGTGGTAGATTTGGAAAGATTCCCTTAGTATTATTAGTTACTACAATTAAATTATGTAGGATATTCTGATTGAAAAAATTCTAAATAACATTTTCTTATGTTTATTTTGGATTTGCAAAAAATATATGTCAAACCTATGAAATTGAATTTAACCAATCCTATACTATTATTTGGGGAGTACACTTTATAAAATACCCTTAACTAACCTTCCCTTTTATAAAAAATTACTTAAGAATGCCATTACAAAAATCTTATTTTAGAACAAATTTCATTCAATTTATTAAGGATAAACAAGTAAAATACTAATTTATGTCATTTAATTAATTTAATTAAATTATAAAACGAAAATCTGTTATTTTTTTTTTAAATGACCAATCAAAATGAACATATAAGATTTGATATCTAACTTACCATATTAATTTGTTATTAATCATTAAACTTCACCTCTCATCTTTATATGATTATATTTATATGAAACAAATAAATCATCATATCATCTACATAATAAAAAAAATAAAAAAAATATCTGCATATGCCAAGATTTGAATTTTTAAAAACGCATATAAATTGTTCAATCTATAAAAGAAACAATTAAACGGGTCAAAATTCAAACTTGAGTAATATATTTCTTTTAGACCAAAATAAATTCAACAAAAATCCGACTGAGCAACGGGTCAGAATTTGAATATTTATATTCGATTTCATATATTTATTTTTTTGAAATGTATAATTTTATATACTACAATAAAAAAATTAAATATTTTAATTTGCAACATTTAAAATAAGTTTTACTTGATATTTTTAGAGAATATCATCAATACTTAATAGTTCAAAAAGTTAAAAATTATAAATGATCTAATTTGATTATTTTTAAAAATATTTATAATAGGTAGCAGGTTAAATATAATATATTATATGATGAAATGAGTTTTGATCCTTATAACTATTTGAATAGTTATATTTAATTTCATATAATTTGTTTTTTGAAATTCATAATTTTATAAACTACAAAAAGGTTTTAAAGATTTTAATTTGGAATATTTAAAAATAGTGTAGAACATTTAAATATGGTTTGACACCTCTAAATATTTGAAAATTTGATTCCGCAAGCAATTTTAGAATTAACGAATAATAGATTGTGCACGCAATATTTTAAAATGAAATATTGAGATTCTAAAATAAAAATATAGATTCCACGTACAGGTTGATTTTGGTATTATTATATACTAAATATATGTTTATAACATATTCGATTATGCGAATAATTGGTAAATTCCGTAGTTATAAATCTCAAACAAATTCTGTAATTAGATTAGCTCAAACAAATCTCAATTTCAACAACCAAAGAATTATAAATTGAAAAGGAATTTTTTAAATTAATTCAAAATAATAGCTAATTTTCTTAATTAGTTCAAAATAATCTAAGTTTTATATGGGATTCATTTATGATGTTTTAATTTTTGATCTAACTGAAATATATGCAATCCTATTTTGTGGTTGTTAACATAAATTAACTCATTGTTCAAAAAATATTACTTTTTAAAAAATAAAATTATTTTCTGTTTTCATATCTTAAAAAAAAATTTATCCACAATTGAGTATTGTAGAAAAAAATCTATATTTATTCTAATTCTAATATTGTATATAGGGACTGACAAAAAAATTAATATTTTTTCACGTACTATTATAATATATTAAAACTTAGTTCTAATATATATATTATATAAATTTTGTAATAAATAAAATTTAACCCGTACTTTAGTACGGGTGATGATCTAGTAATATAACTACAGTAAAACATCTATAAATTAATTATGTGTAGGATCATGATATTTATAGTGATATTAATTAATCTAGAAAGTAATAAATATTAATTTGTACTTTATTTATAGAGATATTTGTTTTAATTGTTCAAATTTTAGAAAAATAATTCCGTGATTATTAATTTATGATGTTATTGGAAAACTTTTTGGCGGAAAAAATAAATATAGGCGGGAATTTTTCACTTTTTATTATTATTTAATTAAATTGATATTTTATATTTAAGGTTTAATTAAAGTTTAGGGTGCTATTTGTGAAACTTTGCAATGTGGTGCTTTTTTTGGAAATACCATATCTTAGTGCTATTTTCGTCAATTATCCTTTTATATAGGGTTTCCAAAAAAAATATTATTAATTATCTTATCGAATTTTGTTAATTTTACATTGGTCCGACTCGAGACCGACATAATATTTTATTTTATTGTATTTATTAGTTTATCGAATATTAATTTATAGAGGTTTTACTGTAATGTATGTATTTAAAGAGTTTTTACATTAACATACATGTCACAAGAAATCAATATTTTGGCTAAAAAAGTACCCAGAAAATATTAAAGATTTTACTTTTAAAATAATATATTTTAAAAAAGATACAACCAATAAAAAATAAGTTTATTTTTACAATCAAATAGCATTTTTTTTATATTTTTCATTGTTTTTGTTTCGTTTTAAATTATGTTTTGGATTAGTTCTAATATATATTAAAAATTGAATATTTTTATAAGTTTATGAAACTATATAAGATCGAACTTCAAATTATTATTATTCATGATAGTAAAAGTTATTAATTAAAATATATATTGTTAATCAAAATAGATGCATGGCCAAAGTTATGGTCCGAAAATAAAAATTGAAATATATATTCTTGATAACAGATTTGTCATACAAAAATAAAAATTGCTAGACTAACATACATTCGTAAATGAAATATTTTATGTGCTGACTGATTGTATTTACATTATGACAGATTTGGGATAAGTAAAAAAAAAACTGTCACATGTTAGCAGTCTTAGTGATGAAAAAAAAAATTGTTGGAATGACTTCGTATAGTGATGACAGATATGTTTTAAGCAATGATATATTTAAATTTTTATTCCTATTATGACAGATTTTTTATTCTTATTTGATGACAGACTTTTCATGACGGACTACATATTTTAAGAACGACAGACTTTTTTAAACACGACAGACTTTTTGTTTTTAATTTCCATAACTGAAAACTAATAAATGACGAGACAATCTAACTTACCATACGATGACAAAAAAAAATCTAACTTACCATATTTTCCTAGGGTTTTGGGTCATTGTAACCGTTTCTCTCTAACTTTCACGACACCACAACCCTGTTCTCCTATGGATCTAGTATTTTTCCTTGAAGGGTTCTAATTCTACTTGATCAACATATTATTTTCGTTCTCAGTTCAATTAATCTATTGCTTTTTCTCTTTCTATCACGTCTCTTCTCTAACGTTTTTTTATCTTCATCAACGATGTCTCAAAACAAAGGGTTGGAGATGAATCAGGGGATCCTCGTATATGGCAAATGGATTTTCGAGAATAACAAATGGTTGTTCGTCATTGATACAAATAGAGGATGTCAGGTTCTAGAATCTAATCGGGAAACCAGTTACTCTCAATGCATTCGAATGGTAATGAAGGATTACGGACTCCAGAACAGATGTTGTGATGTTTTTTTGATTACCACCCGTTATTATTACTAATTCAAGACAGTTTCACTCTTTTTTGGGACAATTGAAGAGCGATACAATTCGACTTTGTGTTGAAGTGAAGAAGAAAGTTACGATTGAAGCTAAACAACCCAACAACGATGGTGTCATTGACAGTACGTTGCAGAGAAAGCAAACAAGAATCGAAAACGAGTTGGTTAAGGAAGAAACGAATTTGATTCATGAAGTGGAAGCTATTGTTCATGACGGCGATGACGATGAAGAAATGAGATTTGATTACTATGACGACTCTGATGGAACAGACTCTGATGATGAGAATTATAGCTTGTATGGGATTCCACCAAATCTAGAAGAAAAACAAATACTGACGTTGAAGAAAAAGAGTTCTGCATGTAT